TGTCCTGCTGTGTAGATGATGATTTTAGTAACGTTGTTGTTTAGGCCCTGCTGTGTAGATGATGATTTTAGTAACGTTGTTGTTTGTCCTGCTGTGTAGAGGATGATTTTAGTAACGTTGTTGTTTGTCCTGCTGTGTAGATGATGATTTTAGTAACGTTGTTGTTTGTTGTTTGATGATTTTAGTAACGTTGTTGTTTGTCCTGCTGTGTAGATGATGATTTTAGTACCGTTGTTGTTTGTCCTGCTGTGTAGAGGATGATTTTAGTAACGTTGTTGTTTGTCCTGCTGTGTAGATGATGATTTTAGTAACGTTGTTGTTTGTCCTGCTGTGTAGAGGATGATTTTAGTAACGTTGTTGTTTGTCCTGCTGTGTAGATGATGATTTTAGTAACGTTGTTGTTTGTACTGCTGTGTAGAGGATGATTTTAGTAACGTTGTTGTTTGTCCTGCTGTGTAGAGGATGATTTTAGTAACGTTGTTGTTTGTCCTGCTGTGTAGATGATGATTTTAGTAACGTTGTTGTTTGTCCTGCTGTGTAGATGATGATTTTAGTAACGTTGTTGTTTGTCCTGCTGTGTAGATGATGATGATTTTAGTAACGTTGTTGTTTGTCCTGCTGTGTAGATGATGATTTTAGTAACGTTGTTGTTTGTCCTGCTGTGTTGATGATTTTAGTAACGTTGTTGTTTAGGCCCTGCTGTGTAGATGATGATTTTAGTAACGTTGTTGTTTGTCCTGCTGTGTAGATGATGATTTTAGTAACGTTGTTGTTTGTCCTGCTGTGTAGATGATGATTTAAGTAACGTTGTTGTTTGTCCTGCTGTGTAGATGATGATTTTAGTAACGTTGTTGTTTGTCCTGCTGTGTAGAGGATGATTTAAGTAACGTTGTTGTTTGTCCTGCTGTGTAGATGATGATTTTAGTAACGTTGTTGTTTGTCCTGCTGTGTAGATGATGATTTTAGTAACGTTGTTGTTTGTCCTGCTGTGTAGATGATGATTTAAGTAACGTTGTTGTTTGTCCTGCTGTGTAGATGATGATTTTAGTAACGTTGTTGTTTGTAGGCCCTGCTGTGTAGATGATGATTTTAGTAACGTTGTTGTTGTTGCTTGTATGATTTTAGCGTTGTTGTTTGTCCTGCTGTGTAGATGATGATTTTAGTAACGTTGTTGTTTAGGTCCCCTGCTGTGTAGAGATGATGATTTTAGTAACGTTGTTGTTTGTCCTGCTGTGTAGATGATGATTTTAGTAACGTTGTTGTTTGTCCTGCTGTGTAGCCCTTTTAGTACCGTTGTTGTTTGTCCTGCTGTGTAGATGATGATTTTAGTAACGTTGTTGTTTAGGCCCTGCTGTGTAGATGATGATTTTAGTAACGTTGTTGTTTAGGCCCTGCTGTGTAGATGATGATTTAAGTAACGTTGTTGTTTAGGCCCTGCTGTGTAGATGATGATTTTAGTACCGTTGTTGTTTGTCCTGCTGTGTAGATGATGATTTTAGTAACGTTGTTGTTTGTCCTGATGTGTAGATGATAATTTTAGTAACGTTGTTGTTTGTCCTGCTGTGTAGAAGATGAGGCCCTGCTGTGTAGAGGATGATTTTAGTAACGTTGTTGTTTGTCCTGCTGTGTAGATGATGATTTTAGTAACGTTGTTGTTTGTCCTGCTGTGTAGATGATGATTTTAGTAACGTTGTTGTTTGTCCTGCTGTGTAGATGATGATTTTAGTAACGTTGTTGTTTAGGCCCTGCTGTGTAGATGATGATTTTAGTAACGTTGTTGTTTGTCCTGCTGTGTAGATGATGATTTTAGTAACGTTGTTGTTTGTCCTGCTGTGTAGATGATGATTTAAGTACCGTTGTTGTTTGTCCTGCTGTGTAGATGATGATTTTAGTAACGTTGTTGTTTGTCCTGCTGTGTAGATGATGATTTTAGTAACGTTGTTGTTTGTCCTGCGGTGTAGATGATGATTTTAGTAACGTTGTTGTTTGTCCTGCTGTGTAGATGATGATTTAAGTAACGTTGTTGTTTGTCCTGCTGTGTAGATGATGATTTTAGTAACGTTGTTGTTTAGGCCCTGCTGTGTAGATGATGATTTTAGTAACGTTGTTGTTTGTCCTGCTGTGTAGATGATGATTTTAGTAACGTTGTTGTTTAGGCCCTGCTGTGTAGATGATGATTTTAGTAACGTTGTTGTTTGTCCTGCTGTGTAGATGATGATTTTAGTAACGTTGTGCTGTGTAGATGATGATTTTAGTAACGTTGTTGTTTAGGCCCTGCTGTGTAGAGGATGATTTTAGTAACGTTGTTGTTTGTCCTGCTGTGTAGATGATGATTTTAGTAACGTTGTTGTTTGTCCTGCTGTGTAGATGATGATTTTAGTAACGTTGTTGTTTGTCCTGCTGTGTAGATGATGATTTTAGTAACGTTGTTGTTTGTCCTGCTGTGTAGATGATGATTTTAGTAACGTTGTTGTTTAGGCCCTGCTGTGTAGAGGATGATTTTAGTAACGTTGTTGTTTGTCCTGCTGTGTAGATGATGATTTAAGTAACGTTGTTGTTTGTCCTGCTGTGTAGATGATGATTTTAGTAACGTTGTTGTTTGTCCTGCTGTGTAGATGATGATTTTAGTAACGTTGTTGTTTGTCCTGCTGTGTAGAGGATGATTTTAGTAACGTTGTTGTTTGTCCTGCTGTGTAGAGGATGATTTAAGTAACGTTGTTGTTTGTCCTGATGTGTAGATGATAATTTTAGTAACGTTGTTGTTTGTCCTGCTGTGTAGAGGATGATTTAAGTACCGTTGTTGTTTGTCCTGCTGTGTAGATGATGATTTTAGTAACGTTGTTGTTTAGGCCCTGCTGTGTAGATGATGATTTTAGTAACGTTGTTGTTTGTCCTGCTGTGTAGATGATAATTTTAGTAACGTTGTTGTTTGTCCTGCTGTGTAGATGATGATTTTAGTAACGTTGTTGTTTGTCCTGCTGTGTAGATGATGATTTTAGTAACGTTGTTGTTTGTCCTGCTGTGTAGAGGATGATTTTAGTAACGTTGTTGTTTGTCCTGCTGTGTAGAGGATGATTTTAGTACCGTTGTTGTTTGTCCTGCTGTGTAGATGATGATTTTAGTAACGTTGTTGTTTGTCCTGCTGTGTAGAGGATGATTTAAGTAACGTTGTTGTTTGTCCTGCTGTGTAGATGATGATTTTAGTACCGTTGTTGTTTGTCCTGCTGTGTAGATGATGATTTTAGTACCGTTGTTGTTTGTCCTGCTGTGTAGATGATGATTTTAGTACCGTTGTTGTTTGTCCTGCTGTGTAGATGATGATTTTAGTAACGTTGTTGTTTAGGCCCTGCTGTGTAGATGATGATTTTAGTAACGTTGTTGTTTGTCCTGCTGTGTAGAGGATGATTTTAGTACCGTTGTTGTTTGTCCTGCTGTGTAGATGATGATTTTAGTAACGTTGTTGTTTGTCCTGCTGTGTAGATGATGATTTTAGTAACGTTGTTGTTTGTCCTGCTGTGTAGATCACCGTGTCTTGCTTAATTCTTGCGGAAAAATTGTATATTTTGTTATGAACGCTTAAAGACTTATTTTATACACAAATCTATGCCGTGTGTATATAAATATATGGTTACTACAAGGTTATACAAAAGAACATACAAGTGGATAGCACCTCAAAGCATCTTTGAGCAATAATGGAATTTCGCCCTCTCACCAAACTATTTATAGTACCTTTGTGGCTACCAAGTCAAAAGGTCTATGTGTGTAGACCCATTAAGTGTCTTTACCATATTATGAGTGCTATTTTTTTTCATCTGAAATGTATGGAAGCCACAGCGTACGTTATCAACTTATATACCGTTTGATTAACAAGAACCAGTTTGACAATACGATGGTTAACAGGTATTAAAATATTGCAAAATAACAAAGATTTGTGTGTCGTGTGTGTAGGCATAACAATGGTACTGAAGGTTATGACGACGACAAATCTCCCCGACTGGTTTCGAATAAAGACAGTATTTTCTAGGTCCCAGAACGGACCCCTGAGGAACTCCGAAGTCTAAGGTTTTGCTGTCTGAAACAGTTGATCCAATGGCAACGCACTGTCGTCGTTCATTCAAGTAAGACTGGGACCAGCGTAATGCATCACCAGTCACCCCATAAGAGTACTCCAGACGCTTGAACAGTGTGCCATGGTCAATGACATCAAATGCAACAGACAGATCAAGCATGATAAGAACCGCTCTACACTTGTTATCCAGAGCAGCAGCAATATCACTGTAGACACGGAGTAGGGCCGTCTCAGTGGAATGTCCTGTGCGATAGGCTGATTGCCAGTTGTCATGAAGACTGTTAGCATTGAGATGAGCCTCAAGTCGCTGGGACACAATCTTCTCCAAGATCTTAGATAAGAAAGGAAGATTTGACACCGGACGGTAGTTCTTTAATTTTTCTTTGTTCAGTCCAGGCTTCTTCAGCAGTGGTCTTACAGTAGCCTTCTTGAAACACAATGGAACCCTAGACTCTGCTAATGATTTATTCATGATTAAGGTGATCAAGGGGAGCAGTGCATCAAGACATTGCTTCAGTAAAACTGTGGGAAGCGGGTCCAGCTCACAGGATTTCGATTGAGAGTTTGTAATGATCTTGCGCAATTCTTCTTCAGTTGTTGGAGTGAACTGCGTCAAAGGTTCACCAGAGAATTGGATATCGGCATCCATGGCAGAGATGCCAGTGTCGGAAGTTGAGTTCACAACATCAATCTTTTGCCTGATTGTATTGATTTTATCCTGGAAAAAATCACTGAATTTGTTGGACAAGATTTTTTCAGAAGAACAGCTTGGTAGGGCGATTTCACCAGTATGTCCCATAAGGTTTCTGGTGAGTCTAAAAAGCTGTCTTGTATCCGATCCACATTCTGTGATTTTTCCTGAATAATAATCTTTCTTACGTTGAATGAGTAGTGAACTGACTGCCCGACAATGTTCTCTGTATATCTGGCGATGGATGGTTAGTTTGGTCTTTCGCCAACGTTTCTCCGCCTTCCTCCGCAATTGTTTTGCATCACGAAGTTGTTCATTGTACCAAGGCGCGTTAGGTCTGACAGTAATTACCTTTGTCTGAAGAGGTGCATGTTTCTCGATCAGAGCCTCGATACCAGAGTTATATGCTTCAACAAGACAGTCAACTCCACCGTCAGTAGTCTGAAGGACTGAAGATGACTGAACGTCTTTGATGAAATCAGGTACAGAAATTTCGCGGAATTTCCGGAAGCTGACCTCTTTTCTGGCACGTTTTGGTTACGATGGTTAACAGGTATTAAAATATTGCAAAATAACAAAGATCATCTTGCCCTTCTGGGACTTGTCAGTGATGTTAAGGGCCTAAATGTTAAAGCCTAGGAGGCAAAGTAGGAAAATCCAAAGTGATCGGGAAAAAAAAGTCAAAATCGAGACCAGGGGAGGTGCACGAGCAAAATAGTTAGATATTTAGCAATTTTCATAAATCAGAAAAATCGTAAACCAGTGTCACATATGTTATTGATTATATTCTGGACCGTGCCACTATTCGAGTGAATTTAAACGAAGCATGCCGGTTACGGCAAACCTCAAGGAGTTCACAGATATTTAGTCTGAATCAGAAATAACATTAATCTTATATCTAATTTCAGACCCAGAGAATCATGACGTCCACATTCCTGTCAAGACGAAGTTGTTTGTCTATATCTCCCACTGTTTTACCACAATGGTGAGTATGTACCCCAGTCTATCATTGTCATCTTCTTTAATGAAGCCGGGGGGAGGGGGGGGAGCATGGGGGAGGGGGATAGGGGAAGAGATGTTTAAATAAAAAGATGAAAATGAAAACGACTTATCAACGGAATCTTGACTTATATTCAAAGTTGATATGAAAATAAGGCACAACGCGAAGAAAAAAACTTAACAAGGAAATTTACGATAAAAAAAATAATCGAAAATGAGACAAGATGTCAATGTCAATTTTGGTCAATGTATGTAATTGATGTCATGGTGCTGTTTTCATAGTGAAAGAATATCACATTTTGGAGGAACCTTTTAGATAATATTTTACAAGAATCTGTCAGATATCTTGTTTCAAAAGTCTTTAAAGAACGCTGCTTTTTGAATGTCAATCTCTCCGGGGATAGTGACATCAAACTGTCTTTAATGTAGAGCATTTACATATATAAAAGTACATTCGATTAAAAAATTTACATCCGCACAACTTGATGGTATCTTGAATGAATTATATTTGGGAGGAAGAACTGACCCTTTACTGATATTACAATGTAATATCTGGATAGGCACGACTTTTGTGGTAGATTACACTCCCGAAAATGTCCCATCACGTCTACAATACGTGTGTTACTATATCGTATCGTAGTTATCAAGAACCGATCGTGGAGTGATGATCGCCGAACATTATCCTGAAAAATTAAACAACTCTATCCGATGGCCTTACTTTCTTTGGGATTCTGAAAAAAAAGGAAATTTCATTAGAAAATAATATTAGATTGTAATATAACGACAACAAAACCTATGTTCAAGGCACTGTTCACAATATATGAGAAATTCTACATCATCTGATTCAATGCCTCCACAAACAAAATAAAAACCGCCAGAACAAAGAACCAAGTTCTTTAGGTCAAACATATGTAGCAGAGGTCATTACTTATTTCAATGTCTCCGCTTGAATTCGAACTCGGGACCTCTGGCTGACTAGTCTGACGCTCAACCGAACGAGCTTAAGAACACAAGTCGAATTTCTGTCATGGATTATGATGTTGAATCCTTTTTTAGGAAATAGTTATTTCAATTTTAAACGCATTTCGATACAATTTTTAATTTAGTAAAGCCAAACAACCATTCGAAAGTCATCTAACAGTTATCGTTGTAAGGTAGGATTCTAATGTGTTGAAATCTTTGAAACGACTGAGAAAAAACAAGATTGGTCTGAATTTAGATGAAGAGGTAAACTTAAAGCGTAGTTTAAAGTTCAAAGCCCGTATGTGGTCAGGGATTTGTATCATATTTATTGTAACGTTTCCTTTATTTCAAACAGGGTGCCCGGATGTGGTGGTTCGGTATCGGGTTGTTTCTTGTCGAGGTCACCCCACATTCGTTACAGCTCACTGCCCTATATGGGTTCAGCAATGGTGGCGCCATGCTCCTATTGGCTGCAGTCATCGGGGACTGGATCGACAAATCCAACAGACTGAAGGGTAAGGTGGCACTCTCAAGCATTATATGTAAACATTGAGAATTCACAATGTTTATACTGATGGTAAAATTATACTTTAGATTTACACGTTTTTGTGGTAATCTTATTTTAGCGATGAACACTTTGCCATTAGATATAAGTACGCGGATTTCAGGTTCTACAGTTAGCTTATGTAGCAATGATTATAGATGCGTAAACCATCATAACATCAATTTGTCAAAAAGTTACATTGCACCAAAAATTAATTGTGCCAAATAAAGTACGTTTACCGTGAATTTAAAGGCTGGAAGTTCCCAGCCATTCATTGAGTCATCAGTTTCGGATATTTCACAATTCCTTTTGTACGTCATATATATATACATAATGTGTTTTATGATTTATAATATCGATGTGACAATTTTAACTTATAAGGCCACAATATCTCAAATCTTTATTGCTGTAAATTCTTTCAGTTGAAATCTGACAGATAATTAAGACCATATCTGTGACCAGAGACATCTCTGCTGTGACATACCCTCTATAACTATGATTTTAAATCCAGCGAATGAACTTGAGATGTGGAATGTTATTTCTACCCTTATTTCAAAAATTATATCTTTAAATATTTTAGCTGCACGTGTCGCCCTCATTCTCAATAACATCAGCATTTCCATCTGCTGCGTTGTCATATTCTTCGTCCTAAAGTACCGACCCGTGATCGAGGCTGCTTGGGAAGACTCCCGACTCCTCACTCTATGTTTCGCGATCGTCGTTATCATCACCATTTTCGCTAACCTGACTAACCTTGGTCGTGTTCTCATCATGGAGCGAGACTGGATTGTGGAGATCTGTCAGCGAGACAAGGCCACTATTGCAAGTAAGTGAGGACGTTTGACGGTTCACGTGACTTGTAGAGTGTCTTCGTTCTTACCCGTGCAGGTTTGTATTATTTGCAGGTCACTTACATGTAACGAAATATCCGTGATTTAGAAACACACTATATCTCTATAAAGTTGTGAAATCAAATTACGTCATTGTCAAAGTAATGATACACGTATTACTGTATCATCTACACAGAAATTGTTACTGGGGATACCAGCATACAAAATTGTCTGAAATAAAAAAAAAATATCCGGACATTTACAAATAGATTCAAAAGTTTCAAGAATATATTCCATGCACAAGTAATAACCTAACAAGTTACGATATTTTTTCATGAAATAGGGCATTTCTTAAGACTGAAAAAGATATCAGAGTTCCGGAGTATAGAAAATGCAGAATCAGGATAGCACAATAAGTTTTTGAAAGAAAACATTGACACATAAAGAGAATCTTAACAAAAAATAGAAATTAGATCAAACTAGGTCATAATATAACATCACTGTAAAATCTAGAGTTACAATGGTTAAAAGTAAATAGAGAACTATTGACAGCCGCAAAACATAGCTAGTTTAATGACAACTGTGTCCTACATACGAAATCTTACAAGGTAATGCTATTGATCTCACTCATATGGAATGTTATGTTGTCATGGTAACAAAGTGAGAGATTATGAAATATACCGTTATTGGTTTATTGTCTTTCAAAGATTTTCAGATGCACTTGTTTTATAGTCTTGCATGTCGAAGACGTCATGTGTCACGGTAGATAACTTGTAATGTAGTATTATGTGTATAGAATGCGATAGACGTCATGTGTCACGAGGAATAACTTGTAATGTAGCATTATGTGTATAGAATGCGATAGACGTCATGTTTCACGGGGAATAACTTGTAATGTAGTATTATATGTATAGAATATGGTAGACGTCATGTTTCACGGGGAATAACTTGTAATGTAGTATTATATGTATAATATGTATAGAATATGATAGACGTCATGTGTTTCGGGTAATAACTTGTAATGTAGTATTATATGTATAGAATGCGATAGACGCCATGTGTCACGGAGAATAACCTGTAATGTAGTATTATATGTATAGAATGCGATAGACGTCATGTGTCACGGGTAATAACTTGTAATGTAGTATTATATGTATAGAATGCGATAGACGTCATGTGTCACGGGTAATAACTTGTAATGTAGCATTATGTGTATAGAATGCGATAGACGCCATGTGTCACGGGTAATAACTTGTAATGTAGTATTATGTGTATAGAATGCGATAGACGTCATGTGTCACGAGGAATAACTTGTAATGTAGTATTATGTGTATAGAATATGGTAGACGTCATGTTTCACGGGGAATAACTTGTAATGTAGTATCATATGTATAGAATATGATAGACGTCATGTGTCACGGGTAATAACTTGTAATGTAGTATTATATGTATAGAATGCGATAGACGTCATGTGTCACGGGTAATAACTTTTAATGTAGTATTATATGTATAAAAAACGGTAGACGTCATGTGTCACGGGGAATAACTTGTAATGTAGTATAGGATGCGATAGACGTAATGTGTCACGATGTTTAAGTAGTAACATAACTTCCTATTTACAGCAATGAGTGCGACTTTCCGCTTCATTGATTTGTGCACCAAGGTCGTTGCTCCCTTAGTAACAGGACAGATTATGACATACGGTTCTCACCTATACGGTGCCATTTTTATTGCTGGATGGAACATCGTTGCTGTGTTCGCAGAGTATTATCTAATCTGGAAAATCTACACATTGGTTCCAGCTTTACATTCAAAATCATCCGCCGATAAGCATGGTATGTAACAAACACTCTTTATCATAATCAATACAACTCCACAACAGAAGAGTTCCACAATTGTAATGATACTTTATAACTGTCTATTTTCGCGGGGATGATACTTTTGCAATTACATTAGGTGATTTTGAAAATTTAATCCGTGAAATAATGATACACTTCGTATAAGATATCGAAATTTTCAATTGAATTGTTGAAACATAATTCAATGGTATTAAAAGAAAATCGCGAAAATCTTAGGCCCGTGAAAATTATCATCTATAGATGCATAAGAATTGATAACCACTTCGCTAGAAGCTTGGGTAAACTTGAACTCGTGATTAATACTGTACAATATAATTTGAAGCCTGCTGATTCTATAGTATACCGTGATTATTGGAAATGGAGGACCATGTTATTACCCGTGAAAACTTTCTCGCTCACGTTCAGGAAATAAGTAATATATAATGTTATATACTGCAGACTATTTATTTTCTATCGAGACCCATCATAACTAATTTGACTTGAATTTATAATTATCTCGATATATTGACATAAATTTGGTTAAAATTGTCTCATAACTTGCCGAAACATTCATTTCGACAGGCAGCTACATACAATAGCACGCCTTTAAAGTCGTACAGGCAGAGATATGACGGTTTTATTATCATGTATATTACACATGCTGTGGATACTTTAATATTAGGAGTGATCTTATGATATGTTTGAAGGTACACATTTTTTTTCTCAGAATTTAAAGACGAGAGCAAAATGATCATATCTACACACCATGCTGACAAAGAATATCACAATCTCCCATCACGTGATGTGTCCACGAAGGAACCGGTGGCAAATACGACACCGAGCGTTGAGATCTACGACATCGCACCAGCAGGTGACACAACACCTAACGTCGAAAAACAGGAACTGGCACAGGTCAGTGACGCAAACGAGGCAGGTTTCACATTAAACACAAAATCTGGCGTCGAGAAACAGGATCTCACATCAGGCGACAATACCAACGAGGGAGGTCCGAAGTTAGATAATCTACCTCGAATCGAGATCCACGACCTCACATCGGACGGCAATACAAACGAGGGAAATTCCTCGCCAAAAACAGATCAGAACATCACGCAAACAGTCCATAGTGAGTTATCTACAACAACAAACGACCCACAGGGGACAGAAATTAATTCAACATCATACCAAGCACAGGAGAGAAGCATTTCACCCAACCCGGAGAAAAATAATTTTGAATCAACCGATAATAAGGTCAACTTTGGGGTCTACGGGAAAGATTCTTCGAACGATATAATTCCTCATTCTGATCAGCAACTAACGACGAAAGATGTAGAGGCTGGTGAGAAGGCGGTAAGTGATAAGATCGGTATGTCTTCACAGCCACAAGAAGAGGAAGAAAAGCGGAGTAGTCTGTCAGCACAGCTGTGTCATAGTTTAATATCACTATACCGAGGATGGAAAACGTATATGAAATATGACGTATCGATTGCTGGATGGTCGCTGGCGTTTCTGTACTTCACTGTCCTAGGGTTCGACAATATAACAATAGGTGAGTGGTAAAATATATATATATATATATACATATAGACATCAAAGAAAATGTTAACAGAATCTTAATTCAACCTAAAATTTCATAAAGCTAGGGCCAAATATAAATAAAGATTTATACGGAGACTCCTGAAAAAAGGTTGAAGGGGAATAAGGCAAGGTGTTCCGGAAGAGTTAGCGTCTTCTGTTTCTTCAAGGACACCCGCCATTTTAATCTTGATCAATACACGTAATGTCACGTTTCCAAGTGAGAACAATGTAAGTGAACTTTGGGAACCACCAAACTAACGAGCATCAAACATCTTTTTGTCTTATAGCAAATTCATAATTAATGGAGTATACAACACTTAAATAAATTAAAAGCAACTTTCAGAAACAAATACGGTACTGCATAGCCAAGATAATTACATGTCATCATATATACTTTGTCCTTAGTGCTAATGGCCGAAAATTGTTATGTGTCTACGGAAAATCAAAATTTTAGAAATAAATTCCAAACTGAAGTTATTTTCCATCCGATTGTTATTTTACATCATAAACTCGACTACATAACAGTCAGAGGAAGCAGAATATTGAATATACAGGTACAAGTTTGAAAGTAACAATCATATTCCAATGTACGTTAATTAAGCTGACAAATTTTGCCATTACAAATTTTTAAGACACACACCAGGAAGTGATTTATTATCGATTCCCTGTCACATTGACTTTGTTGCAGGATATGCCACCACGCAGGGTATGTCGGAGTCCTTAGTAGGTATTCTCATCGGATGTGCAGCTGTGTTTGGTATCCTTGCCTCGATATCCTTTCCCATCCTACGGCGCAAGTGTGGCCTGGTTAGAGCTGGAACTATAGGTAAATTGAGACAGAAAAAAAGTTCGGAAACACAAGAAATTGAAAGTTATTGTAAAATGAAAATAATATTATAAACAGACACAAAGTTACATGTGAAATTAGTCCCCCCCCCTCCTTTTTTATAAATTTGGTCAGGACAAATGTAAAACTAAATGTGAACTCCAGTATCAAGTAGAAGTTATATCCAGTTATCATTGTAATTAGAAAACCGAAATTCTATCCGAACGAAGCTGAAGATACCTGTATCTGTAATGACGTAACATTAAAATAAGATCAGGTGGAAGTTGGGCCTATTTATACCGGAAGTAGAGGGTAAATGTAGGGCGAGGAAAGGCATGGCAATAAACAAAACAGTACATAAGATAGATGTTTACTCTGCTCAAAACTACAACTTCAAAAAATACAACTGCGGAAATCCTTTTGATCATAAATGGAACAAAATGACAGGGAAAGTCAGAATTTTAGTCTTTTCATGACATGAACCATTTTTGTGATCTGGGAGGTCGCCTGTCTTTGTCTATACTCTGTGTGTTGTTAACAGGGTTGAGCTGGGAGGTCGCCTGTCTTTGTCTATACTATGTGTAGTGTTAACAGGTTTGAGCTGGGAGGTCGCCTGTCTTTGTCTATATTTTGTGTAGTGTAAACAAGTTTGAGCTGGGAGGTCGCCTGTCTTTATCTATACTTTGTGTGTTGTTAACAGGTTTGAGCTGAGAGGTCGCCTGTCTATACTTTGTGTGTTGTTAACAGGTTTGAGCTTGGAGGTCGCCTGTCTTCGTCTATACTCTGCGTGTTGTTAACAGGGTTGAGCTGGGAGGTCGCCTGTCTTTGTCTATACTTTGTGTAGTAGGTTTGAGCTGGGAGGTCGCCTGTCTTTGTCTATACTTTGTGTACTAGGTTTGAGCTGGGAAGTCGCCTGTCTTTGTCTATACTTTGTGTAGTAGGTTTGAGCTGGGAGGTCGCCTGTCTTTGTCTATACTTTGTGTAACAGGTTTGAGCTGAGAGGTCGCCTGTCTTTGTCTATACTTTGTGTAGTAGGTTTGAGCTGGGAAGTCGCCTGTCTTTGTCTATACTTTGTGTAGTAGGTTTGAGCTGGGAGGTCGCCTGTCTTTGTCTATACTTTGTGTAGTAGGTTTGTGCTGGGAGGTCGCCTGTCTTTGTCTATACTCTGTGTGTTGTTTACAGGTTTGAGCTGGGAGGTCGCCTGTCTTTGTCTATACGTTGTGTAGTAGGTTTGAGCTGGGAGGTCGCCTGTCTTTGTCTATACTTTGTGTAGTAGGTTTGAGCTGGGAAGTCGCCTGTCTTTTTCTATACTTTGTGTAGTAGGTCTGAGCTGGGAGGTCGCCTGTCTTTGTCTATACTTTGTGTGTTGTTAACAGGTTTGAGCTGGGAGGTCGCCTGCCTATACTTTGTGTTTTGTTAACATGTTTGAGCTGGGAGGTCGCCTGTCTTTGTCTATACTTTGTGTGTTGTTAACAGGTTTGAGCTGGGAGGTCGCCTGCCTATACTTTGTGTTTTGTTAACAGGTTTGAGCTGGGAGGTCGCCTGCCTATACTTTGTGTTTTGTTAACAGGTTTGAGCTGGGAGGTCGCCTGTCTTTGTCTATACGTTGTGTAGTGTTAACAGGTTTGAGCTGGGAGGTCGCCTGTCTTTGTCTATACTTTGTGTTTTGTTAACAGGTTTGAGCTGGGAGGTCGCCTGTCTTTGTCTATACTTTGTGTAGTAGGTTTGAGCTGGGAGGTCGCCTGTCTTTGTCTATACTCTATGTAGTGTAAACAGGTTTGAGCTGGGAGGTCGCCTTTCTTTGCCTATACTTTGTGTAGTGTTGACAGGTTTGAGCTGGGAGGTCGCCTGCCTATACTTTGTGTTTTGTTAACAAGTTTGAGCTGGGAGGTCGCCTGTCTTTGTCTATACTTTGTGTAGTGTTAACAGGTTTGAGCTGGGAGGTCGCCTGCCTATACTTTGTGTTTTGTTAACAGGTTTGAGCTGGGAGGTCGCCTGTCTTTGTCTATACTTTGTGTAGTGTTTACAGGTTTGAGCTGGGAGGTCGCCTGTCTTTGTCTATACGTTGTGTAGTGTTAACAGGTTAGATGCTGGGAGGTCGCCTGTCTTTGTCTATACTTTGTGTGTTGTTTACAGTTTTGAGCTGGGAGGTCGCCTATCTATGCTTTGTGTATTGTTAACAGGTTTGAGCTGGGAGGTCGGCTGTCTTTGTCTCTGTATTGTGTCACTTTGGATGCCCGGAGGAACATTTGATCCAAACAAAGAGTTGACCAATCAAGACCAAATAATCCAAGGCAACTGTACGAAATCCGCCGAAATCATACCCGGGACTCTGGTATCATCTGTTGTGTTGGCGGAACCTCATGTTAATATGACTTTGGAATCCCTGGCCGAGCCAGAGTTTGACATGACGTCATTATGTAATTACACCACGGATGTTAAGGACACTCTTCCCAAGTCTAAAGCCTCCATCATCATGTTACTGATGGGTATTGTGGGGGCTAGATTTGGTAAGTTATAACGCATGATCCATTATTCAAGCTAATTTTAGAAAATACACTTTTCCATCTGTAACGTGAAATAACTTTGGCTCTACTGTATTTAACCATTACACGGTAAAGCGATCTATCAACGTGCATTTTCCACAGTCGCCTCCTAGGCTTCAAAATTTAGGTTCCTAGCATCACTGGAGAATCAGTCGAAACAGTCATTTCCGGTTTAATTCATTGTTTGGCTCTCAATTATTAAATGGTGCTATTCACCTGTGTGGCTTTTGTACGCTTATATAATATAAACCTGACGTAACAAATGTTTACTTAAAATTACCTAATGCGCATATTGAGGCAAATATTTACCCTTGTTTGTCATTCTTCCCTCCCAGGTGTCTGGCTGACTGACCTTGCCATTACGCAGCTGTTTCTAGAAGCCGTCACAGAGACTGAGAGAGGAATCGTCAACGGATTTCAGTCTTCTCTCAACAAACTCATGGACATGTTAAAGTTTATCATGATAATTTTCATCCCAGATCCGTCCATGTTTGGTTATCCGGCTGTCGTATCATTCTGCTTCATTTTCTCATCTTGGCTGTTGTACACAAGATTTTCCAAGAAGAGGACCGGTAATTTGTTATATGGCAAGAACAGTTATACATTAAATACAAAATAAAATATCTATCTTCCGAACTCTTTAATCAGTGGGGAACTCTTATCAATGTGCCTAAGAAGCTTGTAAACTGACAAGAGTCTAAACTGGTACGTCAACAAGTGAAGATAACAAACGACGACTACATTTGAATGCATTTGAGATGTTTACAAAGATAAATTTTACTGTTTGGTCTGTATCGAAAGCTGCTACCGCGAAGTGTATTTAACGGGATGGTGGACTGGTTAAGGCGTCTGACCATCTTTAAAACAATCCCTCCACCTAAGGGGCGCGGGTTCGAGGTCCTACGTGGGGCAGTTAACAGGTACTGGCCGCAGATCGTTGGTTCTTCTCCGAGAACTCCGTCTTTTCCACGAACAACCAAAACTGGCACGTCCTTAAATAGCCCTGGCTGTTTATTGGATGTAAAAGAAGTGAACATATAAACATGTGAGTTTACAGAAACCTAGCGGAAAGGCTATTTCTTGAATAAGAAATTTGATTTATGATATGGAACCACCGCGGAATACATGTGACGTAATGATTGCTGAGTACGTACATCGAGTTCAGACAACGCTCGATTGATACTCTGGTATTGACGTGACGACGTCAATCTCAACATATCAACTGAGAAACCTAGCATGGCTGACGGATGGTCGGTTTGAGAAAAAAGACGTAAGTCATGGCTTTCATCAACCAACAATTCCATAACACGGCGAGCGGGTCGGTACAGTCGGCGAACGGGTCGGATCAGTCGGCGAATGGGTCGTATCAGTCGGCGAAGAGGTTGGATACGTCGGCGAACGGGTCGGATCAATCGGCGGACGGGTCGGATCAGTCAGTGAACGAGTCGGATCAGCCGGCGAACGGGTCGGATCTGTCGGCGAACGGGTCAGATTAGCCGGCTGACGGGTCGGATACGTCGGCGAACGGGTCGGATACGTCGGCGAACGAGTCGGATCAGTCGGCGAACGGGTCGGATCGGACGGTGAACTTTTAAATACCCGGATATTGCCCTAACCTGCATGTCACGTTTTAATTCATTGGAATAGTGACACAGTTCTGAATATACATATGAATTTGTTAAAAAATGATCTGATTTATGAAATTAATTTTTGACATTTTCCCACTCTCATTGGATTTTCCGCGCTCGCTTCCTTGGCTTCAGAATTTAGGACATTAGCATCACTGACCAGTCTTAGACAGATGTGTAATGCAGTTTAATTCATTATTTGGCTCTACTGTAACTAACTCTAAATTATTAAAAGGTGCTATTTCACTTGTGTGTCTTTTGTTTAATCTGTGGTATTTGTTAAATAAGATACTGTTCAGATAAGATATGAAATCACCATATCAGTAGATAATTGTGTTGTATATTCACTTTATATCATAAATACATTCAGATATCATGAAAACTTCAATAAAGAAAGTCATGAACAAAACATAAGTTGGTTTTCCTTTTATTTTTCAAAACCACATAATCATGTGAACATATAAAGTTGTATAAAAATGTTCATTAGCACATGTAAACAATAAGGTCTATGGTTTCGTGTTTTACTACAAGGGTTAATGTTATTCAATGTGATTGTCTTCACATGTAAAAACATTCTTTTTAATTGCAAAACATTAATGTTTTCCACGCTGATCTTTATATGTTACCTAAAAGTTAATTTTAAATTTTGCAGGAAATTTTAAATCCAGATATGACAAATAAATTTACATAATATTAACAAATATAAATATATCAGTGTTTTGTAGAAATTTCGGTGTTGTTTTCAATATTTCTTATATTTTTATTGATTTATTTGATCGATAAATCGATTGCTTGATGGAACCGTGTGAAGATCTTAAGTAAACGATGTACGAGTTATTTATCTATGATTATATAGAAAATATTTGCCTTCTTGTGAAATATAAAACAAGGTATGCTTTAATAAATATATATAAATCTATATCGATCACAGATAAATATCAAAACGAGATAAATGACATTTAATATAAAATATGAATTATTGTACTATAAACGTTAAGATGGAAGATGACTTAGACTAAAACTACTATACTACTTTATAACTAACAATAAAATTCCGAATGAACTTTATGTTCTCCGTGTAAAAATATCAAGTGTAACATGAATAATGTTGTATTGATTAAGTACTGTAAAGCTATATGTATGAAGTTTTACATCTTCTCTAAAAAAAATTGACGAACTTGAGCAACATTTCATAAATACTACACTAATTGTGAAACGTATAAACCGTGATTAACTGATGAATATATACCGTATATAAAATATGAAACATATTTTCATACATCTTTCAGTTTAATGTCTGCAATGAGTTATGAAAGAGGTATTAATCTGTCAGTGTTGAAAAACATGTTGATTGTATAAAAATATTGTACAAAATCGAGCCTTTTATAGCTATAGAATTAATGAAATCTTAGATAGAATCAGTTTACAGCAATTCCTATTCCAAGGGAGATAACTCATCCCACCGTAAACATTTCTATCTTTGAACACTAAGGTCGTGAAACCATTATTGTGAAGGAGAAATTCTTTAAAAAGACCGAAACAACGTCATATAATGTGTAAGTGCACAATACAAAGTAAGCTGCATTTGAAGATGCTAGTTAAAAGTTTTGTCATCTTCACTATTTCTCCATAATCAAACTGGACTTTATCTCAGAACAGGGCTATAATGTTTGCTATATAAACAGTTTATGTTAAAATATCATAATTCAAAAATCGGTTATATAAAGAATGTTTAACTCATCATGAAATATGAAACTATAACATACATCAACAAATACATTGTACATGTTTAATGCTATGGAGACAGTTTGGTGTACTCCTAATATGTAGCAAAGTTCGTGCTAATCAATCCATCAATTTTTTAAGGATTCGTCGTCATTATACTACATGTACATTTCAATCAATTATAACACGACATTCGGACATCTCAGTATGGTTCATTAGAGACAATATATAGTCGTAAATGCTAGAGGACTTTTGGAACGTCTCTAATTTCTTTATAAGATTGTACATTCATCCGTTTCGTTAGCCTTGGGTCCACCAGAGAACATGTTGGACAATCCCTCTGTCAGAATACCTGTCATATCGTTCATCATCTTAGGGAGGTTGTCCATATCCATTTGTCCGGATGCTTGATTCTGCGAAGAAATAAGAATGAATTTCTATAAAAGTGTGGAGATAAGGTGACATTGAGATTTCAGATTTCTAATTTACCAGTTCAACTAAATACATGCTTTAGAATTGAAGACTGATTACACTATTTACATGTAAACGGTTGCTATTATAGCCTTATAAGGTCATATTCATTATATGTTTGCGACCATATCAGTGTTCGAGTCACATATCGTTTTAAGAGGAGAGTTCGGAATACCTAAATTTCGACCTCTCAGGATGACGGTTGAAGGAGACAAAACAAACCGATCATATTTGCGCGGATTTATCTAGTTATCTTTCATGAAATATGATTTAAATTTCGATCGTGGATCATTAACATCCTGACGTTGTGATGCTTGTTGTACATATAAACTATGGCGGTGTATAGAAGATATCTTGTACAAAACTTCCCAGGATGATATTTAACCTCGGCTGATAATCACGAATATACAGCCATGTGCAGAACTGAATGATTTGATACTACAATGTGCATACAACCCAGAATAGTCCATGTGTGCATGAGGTAGATTTACACTATTTTTCATTTTAAAAGTGGTCAGTTTTGACCGTTACCCTTAGCAGATGACCATCAGACCTGACCATTTGTATGCCTTCTTGGTGTAATGTTACGGACTGAATCTGTTAATAAATATTGTACACAATGTTTGAAGGAACGCATGAATTCACTGATAAATACACAGTGGAACCACGTAATTAACACACCTTTCACTAAGTGAAGTAGGAGGTATATTAATGTAGTTTACATAAAATGTTCGTGAACTCATGACCCCTGATTATCGACTATATTTGCCTTTGAAATGTTCATGGACTCGTAACCCCTGATTATCGACTACGTTTGCCTTTGAAATATGACGTCAATTCTGCTGTTATAAGGTCAATGCTCACGTTTACTGGATACCTATCTTTGGATGGATCACGGGCCAAAATATCAAAAGATGTACATAGTAGCATCACGTATTACATAACTGTGCATTGTACAATGTCATCAGACGGGATAAAGACGAAAGCAAAAAGATAATCTTTAAAATGTATAAATATTCTGATATCAAGGTAATTTTGTAACGTAGGACCATCGGGAAACGAAAGACAAACGTCTGAACTGTCAATAAATGTACTGTCGATAATTTAAAAACGATAAGTTGGTTTTCTTAATTTGTATAGTTTGTTTAATACGAGGGTCTACTATTTCGCTGGTGACTCGGATGGACTTAATAGAAGTTTATCTACACATCGGTTCTCTCGTACACATATTATCCTGATTTGCATATTTGATTAACTTTAGAAATGTTTATTGGGTTAATAATTTTTTTTATCAGAGTACATCGAATAATTTTCCAGATGATATGTCTAACTGAATAGAATACACTCTCTGTAACTACCCACCATTGCATCCTGGATATTTTTTGGCAGAGGGCCAATCTTTTCGATCTCCTGCGACAGCTCTACAACCTTTGCCCCTCGAGCCTCTTTTTCGTGTGGTTCATCATCCTCCGTTTCTTGGTCAAATAATTCCTTGATTTCAATGTATAAATCCAATTGTTTCTGAAGATTTTGGATCTGTGTTTCATCTAAGATGTTCCTGCTCTGTTCAATCCACGGTTCGAGCTATAACACAAATCAAACCGTCAATGCATTAATCGGGTTATGGATAGTAAAATATACCATTTTCTCTCACAATAGTAAACAAACCTGTGCACATCACAATTCCTTAGATTATACACGGGTTTGCTTGAGCCGCCACAGAAAGGCAGATGGAACCTACGACCAGGAATACGCGATGTATTGATAGTGAAGACTGACAGAAAACGTTAATCAACATTTACTCGGTAGAGTACTCGTGATACAAATTAGAAAATCTCATTAGCGTACATGTATCCTCTCTTTGTGGAATACCCTGAATACACAGAATGAAACTTCCGTTTCAAGAACGAATACCGTCTTTCATCATTTCTATCAAGTTGTATTTTTTTCCGTAAGATCATTGATTTGGCTATCAGCTGTCTTACGTACTAATCAACGTACCCATAGCATGTATCATAAAACGTAATGCAGAATTAATGATAATCTAGCGCAAACTTTGAAATAGAAATTGTGGTAAAATGTAACGATGGTAAAATGTTTGAAAATTACTACTTTGTTTGTACATGCATACAATTCTAGTCATCTAATCAACTTAGGGTTTGACAATAATTATTGACATATGCATCTCATCACACCTGACTTGACAAAAATCCAACAAATGACCTTTACCTTTCAACACCAATTTACAATAAGTAAAATAAGATACTATATAACTAAATAATTCAATAACCTTTATTATTCAGCTGTTCTGTTCTTACAGAAACTCATCAGTGATACTTCGTGGCCTAAAGTTTTGGATCTTAGAAGGCGATAGACGGTATTATCAAACTTGTATGTAAGATAGAAACCTACTTTCTCAATAGCAGCTATTACAGGCTTGTAATACAGGGCCTTGTCAAATAATCTCATCATTGGCTGGGCCATAGTGGAGGCTTGTTGTGTCATACCCGTCATCATACCTGTAACAGAGGGCGTTAATCTCTTAACATGGTACATAACAAAATATTTTGTACATGGAAAGTTGTGACACTTTTATGATATTTCAATGAAACAGAAAAAAAAAAATGATATAAACAGTACATCGACGGCAGCCATTATCCTACTGGTAAAGATTTTTAAGGTTGTATGATAAGCATATATTTAGAGAAACGAAGAAAGAACTTGCACGAGATAATATAGAATTTCAGTGATTCAGTGGAGCATTTCTGCAGCCTGAAGGATGAAGAGGAAATTACAAAACTTTGATCTATTTGTACACAGTGTGTATCGTGAACTGTACATAATCTTTAGTTTTAACAATATCGCAACTACATTTTATTCCATTTTGATATACATGTGGTGTTAAATCTGTTTATAGGACCACAATATCTTATACTTAAATGGATTTCTACAACCAGAGGACAGTACAGACGGTACAACGATATATGAAGACGATGAAACAGAAGACGCTTACCCCTCCGAAACACCTGGTCTCATTTGCATTGTGCTTTTTCAGGATTCGTTCATTTGTTCATGAGTTTTGCCTTGTCTTATCAAATTTGGATATAGATTGTGCTGACATGTCGGAGTGTTTTTATTGTGGTTGTACTATTTAACATCAAACCCAGATCTTTGAGCAGCTAGGGTTTAAGAAAAGGTATATATTGCTAAATTAGCAATATAGTTATGCCCTTTTTGAAATTGAAGATCTTTGAAAGAACTCTTACATAACGCAGCATAATTTCCTGAGACACTTATTGTCGTGATTGGTTGTTGAAAAGAAGTTTTCTTTATACATATATACACCGAAAATATATAGATAAAATCAGGTGTTTTGGAAGAGTAACCGTTTTCTACTTCATTGATACAAAACGTGCTTTATATCTAGTTTAAAGGGCACATATGTTTATATACGGAATACATAAAAATGGTAGATACGAAAATACGCGGCCTGTCTCTCTTTCTTCTTTTTTTCGTTCTGTATGTTTGTCTGTCTGCCTTTCTTTCGCTGTATTTCTGTCTGTCTGTCTGTCAATTGTTATTCGTGATCAAGTTGCACCTAGCAAACAAATCATGATATTGAATATGCCACTAAATTCTTACCTCCAAGCGACTCGCTTACTCCAGATTTGCTGATGTTTCCATCCTCGGTCATTGAATTACCCAAACCAAGGAACATTTTTCCGAAAAAGTTATCCATTTTACTCTCGTCAAAGAAATCCAAGCCTTCATTTTCACCTTCACCTCCCATGAAATTTTTCATGAAATTTACGTCGTCAAAATCGTCTAAATCATCATCGTCTGAACTATCATCAACGTCGTCAAGAAAGCCAACTTTTTTTCCAAAACCAGAAAACGTTTTTTGCGTTTGAAATGCCGCTTGTCGCATTCCAGTAAACGTTCCCTGGAAATAGAGAATAAGTGATCTGACTTAAAACATTGCCCCAACATTTCAAATCTGAGTCCACTCTAACACCCGAGGTAAAAATGATCTCATATTGTTTATACTGCAGAGTGCTTTACATCCAGAAAATAAGCAAAAAATCAAGGTTTCATTTACATCTTACCAAAATGGTCATTATGCTTCACATTTTGTAAATACATACAAGCTATCCCAGATATCAGTCCGTTCCACAGACTTGTGACAAGGTACATCGAAGTCGTAATCGTGTATATGTATATCACTAAGGATATTGACAGACATAATGTATATGATGTAATATATGTAGATGTAGGTATCATATATTGTTTTAATCTGTCTGCTCTTAGTGATGCTACCCCAGATAGTGTGCCAACCTTGATCAAAACACAATATATTTTGGAATTAGTTTAGAGATTCGTTAGTGATACAAATATTTCCCATTAGATAATTCATTTTGCATTCATGTTGGCACAAGTCTATTCATAAACTGTCTAGTATGGATCGGTGAATTTAATGGACAGTTTGTCTACGGACCAAGTCTGAGGAATGGACTGATATTTGTAGTTGTTTATTTATGTATTATAGAAATGTGTAGTTTAGTAATCATATTCCATATTTTATCATTACATTCTATATTATAAATGTTATGCAGATATCCTGATTCATCTTTATGTACTTCTATAAGAAAGGTACTGTGTATTATGTTTATTTCTCTACAGAACGAGTTAGACTTTGCCTTTTGCCCAATTCGTTTTGCGTTAGGATCCTAGAAATAAAATTATGCTGAAATGTTGTTGAAGTATCAGTTTTTATTCTTCCATTTGTTTCGTGTATTTTGTACATGAGCGTCTGCACGTGTTTGATATCCAGAAATTCAGCGCTTCATTGCAATTAAAACTTACCTCTTCTATGTTTTCTTTCGCTGTCTGGTACCACTTCATTAGTTTCTTTGCGTGGTTTCTTGACAATTTCAGTTTGTCTGGAAAATGAATATGCAAATACAACATGAAGATACCAACATGTGAATATAATTATAACTAAAATGACATTTTATTTTCAGGGTCTAAATGACTTAATAAATTCATGTCGACATTTCAATACATTAAATCCCTTCATATTTGAATGATTTAGACCCCAACGGATAATAATCATAGTGTTTCTTTCTTTACAGGAACTCGTCTAAATACCGCATTATTTTCAAAACGATATTGGTTTACCAGCAAATTATAAAATTATATCCTCTCTACATTCTGAATATGGTGACTGTATCCATTTTCTTTAAAACTCTGTATATTCTTGATGTCATGGTTTTCTTTTGTTAAGAAGAATCTAAAATATTGCGCCGGTGTAAGGTTGAAAATTGACCCCCGTTGCAATTGGACCCGGGTTTCTATCAATTAGGTTTCATTTTCAAAATTACACCGGTTATCGTTAACGTTGTTATGTAGACACTGGAAAAATAAATCGATTTTAACCGAATATTACCTGGTAATTTTTCTGGTTTCTTAAACGTCTTGAACGCAGATAAGGCTTCTAAAATCCTCTGACTATCCTCCACAGGTAGATCCAATATACTCTGAGTTGGCCCTAATTAAAACAATAGGACATGCCCGAATTAGTTCAAATTACGTTTCCCTTGTAGTATTGCGTCCCTTCCTTTCCCAAGTAAACGTACCTCAAACTAAATTGAACTATCGTAAAATCATCTTAGATCTTAAACTTCATTGTTTTTCTTAGTCTCAGAGACGAGTAGCAAGAAGATGATAGCAGACTCAATAGGACCTTTGAACGTCTGTCGAAATAACAAAAATGACTAGACCGAGACTTGTTGCAGGAAAACAATTCCAATCGTTAGTTGGTAGTGTAATTCGAATCCAGAAAAAACGAATATTACATAACATGATATATTATTATTATTTTGATATCGATTTGGAAAATTGATTTTCTGGTTCGATATGAAATGCGAAAGGCCAGTTGGTATGACCTGTAATTTTCTTCTTCCTATTTTGTGCAAAAAAACGGTGTAGTCTTCCTCGATAGACATGGTAGGTGTTTCCGAAGAGCCCGATGAAGATATGTCTAGTCTAACGGTCGGTTTTTTTTCGCTTACAAAAGTTTTAAACCTGGCGTTGTTCCTTTATTGCAATCGTCTTATCGATTCTGGATGAAAGTTATGGTTTGTCTTCAAAATGTTCTTACCACTATGAAACAAATATCGACAAATGCCTTAACTTTTAGGAATGTAACTAGATAATCGAAAATTTAAACACAGATCTAGAAATTGTAACCTCCAAGTTTACCACTTATGATTAATTTCAAAGTCATTGTAAGTTTTCAGATTGTGTTGTTAACTACAAACCATGCTGCGATTACACATGGTGTTATAAAAGAAGTAAAAGGGAAAATGTATCAAAAGGACGTGCTGCCACAAAAGCTGGGAATGTGACCAATTTTCAACTACATCTTTTCACGTGTTTAAAAAACGAAACATCATTGTTATAATATTACAAAATGATATAAGGAAAAATAGTAGATATTTCAATGATAATAGCATCAGCTCAACCTGTGACCAAATCGAATATGTATCCTATCATACTTTCAAACACGCTTTGCTTCCTTGGAGGAAGAATCCAGGCAGGAACTATTTTCTGAAAAACTACAATACATAACGTACAAAATGTTACATTTCAGGATTTCTATTTTCAAATTACTCATAAACACAAAGATGGAATTTTTGTTTGAAAATGTGTTAATAATAATATCGTTTAGGGAGGTGAATAATGAAACCTGTTTTGTGGTAAATACTTATTATGAAGTCTAAGGTAATATGTTGGTATGTTCTTGTTAAGATACTCAGAGCATTGTCGTAACAGTGGGTTGTGTTTACATTGTCCAATAAGATTATGATGACTATAAAACGCCTAGAGAATCATCAGCCTGGATCTCTCGAAAGCTGTTAGTGAGTTATTCTGACAGTTATCGACATTCATGATAAATCTTGTTGGAAAGCTGTTTTAGTTAGTTTCAATATATCAGTAAGCGGCTGATGTAGGGGATATGTCCTTGTTTATCAGAACAGCAAAACCATCATGATTTTGAAGGGAAATAGTCTAGATCTTCGTACCATATTGGAATCACTTATATAATTACTGATGGTAAATAGTTTTTCGTACTGATTGTTTGTATCTCTATTGGATCGCTCTATCTAATTTTCTACAAGTTTAGCAGTGGTTCTTTTGCTTGCTTAATCGATCAATATTTCGCTACAAATACGAAGACGCCCATCGCCGAAAAGTAATTGTGATATCATATATATGTTGTTTAGTGGTGTTCAATAACTTCCTAATAAATAGTGATGTTCTTACGTTAATGTGCACATAAAAATAATGCTAAATCACAATTAGTATGATTCGACTATCTGACAATATTTACGGAAATCCCTGTAATTTTGTTGATGTACGTGTTGTACAGGGTCATCAAAATGTACCCTGTCCAAATAAGTGAATTATTATCATCAATATAAATCAATAGATTTTCGCTTAAATATATCTCATGTTATTATTTTTCAAGTTTGAAATACGAATTTTCTCATATTTCGGCAATATCTTGCTTTTTTGTTTAAGCTGATTACATGTTCTGCCGATGATTCCCTTAGTGTAGTTATTAGGTGTTACCTTCAACAAGAATTGCTTTGAGTAGGTGAAATAAAATATATATTTGTGCATTTCACAAGACATTGTCACTTGCATCCGAAATAAATTTGCTCATGTGCTTGATGAATTCGTTGTTAAATCACTCAATTGAACAAGAGCTACACAACAGGTGCCGTTGATGAAGCAAAAGACGCATACTCTACCGGGACACTTGGTCTCCTTATTCATTTTTCATATTTGTGTGTACATCTTTGTTTACGTTTTGCCTTGTTTCATCGAATTTAAGATTTAATTGAAATATTGGTATTTTTTATAGGGCTAAAACTAATATTAACGATATAACTGAAACCCCTAAAGAGCATTAACTTGTGTATAAGTGTATAGACTTTGTAAGTGATTGGTACAGATATCCTAAAGTGACGTGTCCTTTTCTAAATCATTGTAAGGTACAGTTATATATTTTAACCCGACAGAGTATGTATTTGCTTTGCATTTAATAGTGTTAATCACCCATCATTCTCTTGTACAATCTGATTGTATGTAATGGAGTCTGTTTGCGGTAACCTGGCGCCAGTTGTTCTACGGTCCTTTAACCAGAGGCTAGCCAAACAATCTCAAATTGTCGTTATTGAAAAAACAAGAGTGTTAAAGGCAAAATTAACACTCAATATATTTAAATCTAGTCTTTCTCGGCAAAATTATAGCTTGAAAATGATAAAAGATGCTTTAAATTTCGTTTAAGATATATCTGAAATTTTTCACTAGTCAATGGTTATCACCAATTAGCATTTGAACAACTGGGGTCTGCATGCCAAACTTTATTGAAATTTATGAAATCTATTGAATTTTGAGGTTAAAGCTGTTCCCATCTGGTTTTTGTTATTCTATCGACCAATTTTGATTTTCAATATTCGCATCCTAGGCTTCACGACTCTAGGGCCTTATTATTACTGACGAGTCCTAGAAAGACGAAACAGCTATTTATTGCAGTTTATTTCATTATTTGATTTTCTTGATGTCTAATTCTAAATTTATACTGAAAGGAGCTAATCACTGTTGTGTACTCTTTGTACTTCAAATATTGATCGTCGCAATCTCCTGACAGATTACGGACTAGCTGAAATTTATCCCTATACCAGTGGTTAAGTTAGTCTATCGACAGCTACACGGCATGATGTATGATAAATCATAACCAAATTACCGAAAAATATTTATGTCATTACAGACCATTCCGAGTGAGAAATCTAACTTTCGTATCAGTCTCAGTATTGTTTCGGAGTTACTACCTTTCATTACAGGATGAATATAACGACGGATGATGCTAGGACGTGTGTGCCGACTGCTGTATTTATTTCATACCAATAACAGATGTTATGTTATGAAATAACAATATCATATTTTCACTGTGAATTAGTCCTCACAAGGACTATACAAGTAGTATTCTATAAATATCCCAGTAACTCGATAACAAGCTGGCTTCAAAAAAGCTTATCCTGAAAGTAGGCCTGTAGTTTCTAACACGGGTAAATATGCATTTTCCTTACTTAACAGTATCATATTTTCATTGTGAATTAGTCCTCATCCCAAGCAGTCGTATTTAAATATGAATATCAAACACAACACCAAAGTAGAGGATTGTACAAAAGAATTGGATACAATAGAGTCAAATAATGCATTAAACTGCATCATACAGCCTTTCCTTCCTTCTAAGATCCGTCAGTAATGCTAAAGACCTAAATCATGAAACCTAGGAGACTGCGGAAAATTTAAAATAGATCGAAGGAAAGGTTAAATCTACAGACCAAGGTTAAGAGAAGAATCTACAACACATCCCGAAATTTAGCGTTTCAAGCTCCAGTACGTAATTGACACACGAATGATAATTTATAGCGTGTTAAAAATAGCTTGAGAACACCTGCATTTATTTCTAATCACATATAATTTTAAAAATAGACATTTTAAATCCGAAGACATACAAATATTTAGTTTTCACTATAAATTTTGATGGCCTTTTTTACTTATAATTGACATAAATCGGTCAATACGAGTGAGAAGCTTGAAATTGTTTATCAGATATTTAGTCTCAGTAAATCTTTTAAATACCCCAATAACTCGAAAACAAGCTGGCTTAAAAAAGGCTATCCTGAGAGTAGGCCTGTAGTTTTTAACACGGATAAACATGCATTTGCCAAAAAAAAAAAAAAAAAAAAACAGTCGCGTCTTATTTTCGAGTGTTTCGGATATTAAAGTACTGAGAAGAATTAAGCGTCATGAAAATGAGAGACGATGAAAATACATAGAAGATTTTAAGTGCAATACACAAGATAAATCGTACAAGGAAAGATAAGCAAAGGCATGATTAGTTTGAATTTCATTTTATTAAGGAAATGAAAAAGACGTGAGGCACGTCAGTTACAATTGCAAATAATTCATACAAATAAATATTTGAATAAATAATGGAACGTTTTTGTATATTTAGATATGTTTATATAAAAAGTCATCACATGTACAATACAACACAATGTTCAGAATGTAAAAGGGTCATTGTCAGTGTTATTAAAAAGAAAGAAAAAAATGAATTGCATATATTTTTTAATTTCAACACGCCAACCCGTGGCCGTTTGAAAAGAAGAAAAAAAAATCGCAGATATAATCTGTATGATAGGCTACAGATCATATGTTAACATTGATTCAAAAATGGTTTTAGTTGAATCAGTATCACCTTCATGATATCTATGCTATTTTCATATTAGAAATGCAATTCAAACAGAAATTGGTGAGAAATAGAGAAAAGAAATATATACGTATTTCAATTTCGGATACTTTTATTTGATTCTATCTCTGTGTAATGCTTAATTAATAAAAAAGGAAACTGAGACTAACTAGGACATTTTATCTTAGAGCAAGGCATGATTTCTAGTATTACACATCAGATACAGCAATTCTGATGAAAATTAGAAAAAAGGAAATGGATCATTTACTATTTTGTCTAATAAAAGTAGACTGTATGAACTAAACAATTGAAACGATTAGATATCATACTAGAAACAAAAATTCTAGAAAAGTATCATATAATTGACGTGAAAAATAATTACTGGCGACTTGAAAATAATATATCTATAATTTATTTGTTTCAAACGTTCTTCTTAGTCTGAAGATTGTGAATGTGTAAAATAAAAGAAACTATCATCAACAAAGCCTCCTATTATTACATAAACATACCAGGTAAATAAGATAATGATATTTCATGAACGCGTATGAAATATACATTTATACTTTTTTTCTATTAAAAATGAAATTCAAATAAATTTGATTAAAATTGATATGTATGAAGCCTTCATAAAGATAGGAGTTAGCTAATACAGATGGAGTGTGCATCTAATATAGGCAGTATAAGATAAAGCATTACAGGAAAATTAAAGTGACGCAAAATCAATTTAATTTTCGTTAGGTAAGCCAACACGTAATGTTAATACACCTAAGGTTTGCCTTTCCGAAATTATCAAATATGACGTCAAAATCATTGGGAAAAATATTTAATGATACCTCATTTATTTTGTCTTTTTCTAAATTCTGAAATACAACGTCAATTTTTTCGGGGAAAACTTTTGACGCCAATATTATTGATATTAATAAAAAACATAAAATGTTAAGGGAAACTTTCAAATAATGTTCTTTAATTTTCTACTTGATCTGATAGAGGAAATCCACTGTTTTTGTTAGGTAGCTAACAGTGGAAAATCATTAGGCCAAACAAGGGCGATAAATCATGTGATATGTTGCTTTTCGAATACAGGTTTTTTCTATTTGATAATATCAGATAATATATCCAAGTGTTAATATAAACTATAAACTCACTAAAGAAGGTGCTGCATTAACATATTTTAAATATATAACAATTAATATTGTAATATTTCGTTGGTGCTATAACTCTCGACAAACGTTTTCTCTATACCTATATATGAATCATATTCACTCAAGAGCATTCAAACAATGTACAAACGTCAGAATATCCGGTCATTGGACGTTCTGTAGAAAAAATCGTCAGAAGACGTCTTTCATTTTGTTGAATTGTACTCCGACTAGCGTAAATTTGTATATGCGGCAATGCCACATACGAAAATATCCCTGATTAAAGGACGAGATTCATTAATAACTCATGCACCAATTTCCACTTCCTCTTCCGATGACAGAGCCTCTTGTATTACAGATTTCGTCAGAATATCATGAATCCAGAATTCTTTCAAAAATAGTATCATATACAGTCGAATTTCATTATCTCAAAGTCGGCGGGACCGCGCGAAAACATCGTTTATCCAAGTAATTGATTTAATTGAACTCGGATGTTTAGCGTGAAATTTTGTCGGGACTGACGGAATACGTCGAATTAAATAGGGGTCTTCCAGTTATTCGGAGTTCGAGATAACGAGGTTCGACTGGATAATCAAATCATCACATAGTACGGTTCAAATATTTTCTATTAAATATCTAACAAATATGTCAAGATTAATGCTATTCCAGTGAAACGAAACTCATTTCTTATCACCATTATGAAAATCCAGAAACGTCCCCTGAAATTTCAGAAAACGTCTAGAATACATAAGGTTTATTTCCTAGACAAATTTGACAAAATAATGGGGTTACTCCATACCTTTTTCAGACTTGCATGACAATCTCTCACACGGTCAAACATATTAACTACTATGCATTACATTTCTTAAAAGGAATATTTTTCTTCAATAATGTCAATACAATAATCATGAAGTCGTTTCTGAAACTTGTACTGGAATCTTCGAATATATCATGATTTAATCTGCAAGTAAATAGAAAGGAGATGGAACCAAATGTTAGAACTAGATAATATGTTGTTTCACTATGCGTTGTGCCCCTTATATACAAACAATAAATGAATATTTATATATACATATTAGAGTACAATACTGACCATACAAGCAGCCACTTCAGATTTCAATTCAGATTTGCTACTTCCTGCCCTACTCAAAAATTCATCGCCCAATGTTTATTTAATGTAAATAATCAAATTTTCTATCCATCCTTTTTTTTAATTTTTCAAATTAAAACATTACGTAGTTGATAGTTATCCAGTCTATTTCCGTTCAATTTGATTTCCTTTAGATCTTTGCATATCAATTGAAATATTCAGAATAGAAAAGTTAATGATCTCGAGTTTAAGAGACAAGAAATATAATCGAAAATATTGAAGATTCGTTGGGATATAGATAGAAACCTGACGCTTATATTAAGAATATTTGGTCAAAGCCTCATCCTTCCTATATCTGCTAATGAAACTTTAATAATGACATTAAGTTGAAGAAACGCCATAAGGAAATAGTACAGGTAATGTATAAGGTAATAGATCCAAAGGGATATTGAATTTGTTCTTTTGAATTATATACATGTCTGTAATTTACCATGCATACTTTTTATATTGAAGCACTTGGCTTTGACATTTAATATGCAATCATTTGTAAGCTTATAACATTTAGCAATTATTGACCAATTTACAGACCATGTTTTTTCTAGTTCTTTTCCCAATTTTAGCCAAGTTTATTGATATTGATAATTTATGTACGTCAGATTGGAGATCAAGCTATGGTTATCTAATTCCTTCCAGCCTTTCTTGTATATCTATTACACATTATTGGACCAATTTATGAATTGATAAAGGGATATAACTTGATTTCATTTGCTGTCAAATATTGCTTGCCATAAAAGCGCCAGACAGTCAGTGTTTGTTTTAAAGTAATTTCAAAAGAATTATGCACATCTCAAGATACGTAAGATATTAACAGGAATCGGCAATGAAAAGATAACCAATATCAGGAGGAAAAGAGAAAAGCTACTCTTGATCCTACGTAGATGAATTCTCACCTTGTTTAGGTGCCTCTTCTGTAGGTGCTGGGGCCTCTTCCGTAGGTGCTGGGGCATCTTCTGTAGGTGCTGGGGCCTCTTCCGTAGGTGCTGGGACATCTTCCGTTGGCGCAGGGGCTTGTTCATTTCCCTCCTCCTTTGGCGCAGATGTTTCTTCAGTAGGTGCTGGGGCCTCCTCCTGGGGAGCTGATTGTTCCTCTTGTGGCGTTTCATCTGTCGTTGTTTCATCTCCCGCCTTCTCATTCTTCATGTCTTTCCTGACCTTATAACCTTTGAACCCAGCTTGAATTTTAGTTGCAGCTTTAGCTACATCAGGATCGTTAAGGTCAATGTCAACTTGGTCTTCTTTCGTTTCCTCTGTTTTTGCCTCTTCTTGTTTTGCTTCCTCTGTTGTTCCCTCGGATGGCTTCCCTTCATCTGTCTGTGGTGTCTCCTCTGAGGGTTTACCATCTTCCCCTTGAAGGCTTTCTTTAACTTCCTTTCTAGTTTTGTAGCCTCTGAATCCAGCCTGGATTTTCAGTGCGGCTTGTGCTGTCTCCGGATCATTTAAATCAATATCTACATCTTCTTTATCTTCTTCTTTGTTTTCCTGTGTTTCCCCACTTGGAGAAGATTCAGATTCCTGTACAAACATATTGAACTTATATCATCACATTGCATCAAAAATTGAAAGTCGCTCTGTAATAGTTTTGAATATTCTATGATAAATTAAACCTGAAAAGAATTATCAAGTATGGTTAGTGAACCTGAAACAGAAATTTAAGTTGCTATTTCTTATTTCATGTAACATAAAATAAATTACTTATTGTACATATGAAAGAAAGATAGATTTCTTAAAAAAAAACCATGTTATTTGAAATGTGAAAAATGCAAACAAAGACAAAGTCGCATCTGAAAACAAATGAAAATATATATTCTAATCTGCAATAAAAACGTTCAGTTATAAATTATTTAAAAAGAAATACACATTGCACTCATGCCATTAGTAATGATGAAATCTATACATTAACATATACTTATTCAAGCTGAAAAATGAAACAACACAGTGTGAATAACATCCTTCACATTATAAAACAATGTCATGTTATATCGCTCTGCGGTTCTGACAATAAAATATATGTAAACATATTAAACTTTGAAAGAAACAATAAAAACAAATCAAAGAAACGTGTTTTACAATGCAATAACACAATAGGGTGAATTACACACCCTATTGAAACTACACATCCCATTAAAACTTCACATGTTGAAAACAATCCAGTACAAAACAATCAAGAAATAGTACAAATAAATTCAGATAGTTTTATTCCTTATTCCTTAACCCTAATCCTTGATCAACGCTCTTAGCGCTTTTGATATTAAAAGTTCCTCAATTAGATATGCAACTACGGCATGTTAAGCTTGTGAGGATGTTTATATGAAATTCATTCCAGCTTGTCATTTGTCGGTTCCCTAACAATTTGTGGCCACTTTAGAAATACCAGATCTAGGAATCCCGAATCATAAAAGGAACATAGATGGTCGAACATTTTACAATTTGACATAGAAGATGTATAGGACCTCGCTCTAATTGAGGGCTGTTTCATAGTATGGGCCCCGATAGATTTTGCCCTGAGAACGTACTGGCAAAAGCCTAGAATCAATACGACCAATGTTTGCTGTATCTAAGTGTATTATTATCATGGCCAGCCTGACGAATTTCTACAGATAATATGAAAACACAATAAGGATTCTGGTGTTTTGACAATCTCCTAGATCATTCAATAAAATAATCTATTTTCGACGGGCTTAAATTTCGCGGTCTGTCAAAACACAGTGTTTGTATAGCATTCGATATCGTTTGAAAATAGTAATAACGTAATCCACTTGTACTACAATTTTTTACTTGTTGTCGTTTTCTGACCTTACTTCATGGACTAACCACACCCAGATAACCAATGAAAATAAATTCCCCACACAAATTACTGATATTACAGTTACTATCTTGTCTTCCTTGTCAAAATCTAACTAATTCAACAGAGGAAAAGTCTGAGGCCATCTGGAGGAGAGAGTTCACTTGTTCAAATGTATCCATCGAGCAATTTCTTTACACGTGGGTGACTTACTTGTGTTGAACCAAAGCGATCACGGAGCATCAGATGAAATATCAACACATGTCATCGATGGCGCATACGACGCTGTAACCTTCTGGAACACCTGGATTTATTCTGCTTATATCATTCAATGACATTCAAGTTAACCTTTCTTCTTGTTCATATTTTACCCACGGTTTTTCGTTTTCGAGTTAAAATGATTTTATTGCCATGTCAGAATTTTTACGATAATGAGAGATTATACAACAAAACACTAAATGTTATAAATGTACATAGATTGTCTATGAAGCCAAGAAGTCATTCAGATTCTTCAGACAAGTTCATGTGCAAGATCCTACAAACGTTTGACCTTTTTGTGATGACTATACAGAAATAAGCGACGTTTCGATTTTGATCGACTTTTTTTTATCCTGCACAGAGTACGTAGAGATGTTATTAGACCTATGACTTGTATGAGTACGTATCAAATAGCTCCAAATAGACTAGGGTTTACAACACAGCAGTTAAAGTCAGGATTCCGCTGTGATGATCGTTAGATCTGGATATTGATTAGCAACCTGTCCTGCTTGCTTGGTCAACTTATTTTGAATAAAAGCTACAATAATCAATGTTGATTTACAACTCAAGATAAAGAAATCAGTTACAAAACCATAAAAACAAGCAGAAAAACAGTTTAATATTGAAACATATACCAACAGTTTGAAAAACAACCATTTCCCAACGTTTCTCCTGTATATATTTAAGATAACACTGCGTAAGAATCCAGGCACTGGTTTTTGTACTCTGATACACTGGATTAATTGACAGTGATAAACGCTGAAACGGTGTTGGGTCAAATGCCAGATTGTAAGATTCAGTCATGTACAACCATGAAACCACCCAATAGTAAGTCCTCTAGACTGTTGGTGAGGCAATATCCTCATTGTATGACGAATCTATAAAACCCATTCCTTACCTTGGATATGACGTTATCATTGGACTATTTCAGCGTGGTCAGTATTAGAACCACAGAAACTATAATATACATACGATACATGAAAATTATTGAATAACATTTATTAAACATGTAATCAAATTTACGTATAGTTCAAAACCCTTTTAATGTGCATCATTTCTATAACAAGAGTGTAATTATCAAGAATGTTCTACAAAAAATGCAACTATATTTGCATAAAAAGTCACAGACAAAAATCACATAGACTGGAGACAAACACATAGGAAAACATCATTCAACAACAGTTAAAATTCATTTCAGGGGAACGGTACATTAAAACGCATTTCAATCACAATATTGCATCTTTTTACTCATTTACCCTACAATATCAATCACAATACGAGACAAAATACACAGACCAGGTAATTCACCGAAATTAAGTCACTTAGATCAAATTATCATTAAAGTCGACCTATAGAAAGAAAAATAATATCTTGCATGCACGCATCTATTTCAGAATTCCTACACCGAATATATAAAAGAGAAAAATCCTCAACATAGAATGTGAAAAAGGTTTTTTTCAGCCATTGATATTTATAAAACCTTCACCAGTTCTTAATACATTTTTAAACGCAAACCCAAAACGGCGCACAATCACAAATATCAAGTGTCACGGAAAAGGTCAAAGTTCAAGTTGGTTTGAAAATGCAAAGCGAACTTAGTATACCCAAATACCAACAATCAAAATCAAATGTGGAAAACGATGACAAAACAAGGAAACTATAAGGGAAGTGTGTTTCTCTAAGAGGTAACTAAAGGATCTACCTCACCAAACGGAACGACGATTTAATGTCTGCTCGTGGCGAAACAGTCGGATGTCGACCACCCATGCGAACAAATGCAGCTAGTCAGCATGCGATGCTAAGAACAAAATTATCATTCAAACCTTTTGAACTTTTGTTTTTCTTGCCCGGAGGCCCTTAAAGCTAGCCTGAATCTTAACGGCTGCCTTCTCAACATCTGGATCTGCCAAGTCAATATCTACGATTTCCACTTCCCTTGTTTTGGTTTCCGTGATATTCATATTCAATGGCTGTTCTACCGATGTCTGTAAACAACATGATAGCAATTTGTGACACTTATCGTGTTTCAGTACACATAAGCGAACTCTTTGTAACAGATTGACACCAGCAATAGTCTTAAGTTAGAATTATTAGTGTTACAATAACAACTGGCTCTACTAAATAGTGTTCCTTTAAAGATTCTTGTAACTCACTTGGGAGAATTCTGTTTCGGTACCGTATATTTTCATTAAACAATTAAAGGAACGATATCTTTTTCTTTGGGAGGCAATAACAATAGAATCAATCAGTGTAGCGCCTTGCATTTTTTTCAGCAACAGCTGCAAATGTTTCTAAACGTTTGCTGGTGACGAAATACATCGTATCACAGCAATGCAACACATACCATTCTGATATTTTTTTCTCAATTCCGATGCTTATTTAAACTCTAAAACCTTAACTGCTATCGACATCTATTCTATCTCAAAAAAAGTTGCCGATCCAACAACAATAGTAGAAAATTATGACCATAATCGCATACTTATTTGCAACCTAACAAAATAGATTTAACTTCAGAGTAATTAAGACTGAGTACTGACAACACCTAAGTATCCAACCTTCGATTTCCCAAATTTCCGAGACTTTAACCCTTTAAATGTTGCTTGGATTTTTACGGCTGCCTTTTCTACTTCTGGGTCATTTAAGTCAATGTCAATTTCCTCTTCTGGCGGAACATTGACAGAAGATGGAGGAGGCGTTGGATTAGTATCAGTAAGTGACGCTGATGACTGAAAGTAAGTTTAATAAAGTAAGAAAGACAAATGAGTATGAAAAAATAATTCAATTATTCAAATCCATTGTCATTTAAACATTATCATAAAATCAACTTTTCTGATGTTGATACGGACACTAGGAATAATTGGATTCATTTTTTTCAATATCTCCCCTTCCACGTCGATGGAAAGCCCAATTCAATATTATCCTGACCCTGAATTTCCCAAAAATGTTTTTAACATTTTCTTTTCAATGTTGTCATACTCTCCCATGTGGAGAGAGAAGTTCATAATTGATCTTGGTCTGAGCTTCCAAGGTACAAATCAATGTCCTTGAATTATAATCAATTTCTCGAACAACACCAATTCAAACCTTTTTTGATCCGAACTTCCGAGACTTAAGACCTTTAAAAGTAGCTTGAATTTTCATAGCAGCTTTTTCAACTTCTGGGTCGTTAAGATCGATGTCAATTTCTTCCTGCTCGGGTGGTATTACGGGAGGCGGAGGGACGGGTGGAGATACGGTTTCGATGTTTCTGAGTGTTGACTGTAATTTATTATGATAACATTGCAAGTCAAATTATCAAGTTTTATAACGTGTGTGGTATTTATGCAATTGAAAAGTGTACTTTTATTCTCTTGTAAGACCTATTTACTTAGATGTTAATTCAAAATCTATACAAAACCAACTGAACGACGTTAGTTCTGATGCTTTGGATTTTTTTAATATAAAATGCCAGAGACATCATGTTACTATACATATCAAAATACTAATTTTGAAGCTAGACTTGAAATCTGTTCCTAACATTACTGTATAAAATTTATCAAACCAAAGCGGGTTTTTTTATTTATTTATTTTCCCCCAGTACAAATACACTAATTGAGAATTCCAACAGAAAAAAGTGAAGTGCCAAGATTACATAATGCATTACAGGGTTAAAGGTCATCGTATCAACCTTTGATTGATAATAACTTGTTTATGTCCTATTTTCACATCATTATCCCTAAGAAAACTACAGGATTAAAAACCTTCTTGACTCCGAACTTCCTTGACTTTAAACCTTTAAAGGTAGATTGTATCTTAAGGGCTGCCTTTTCAACTTCTGGATCGTCTAAATCTATGTCTATTTCTTCCTCGGGGACAGAGACTGGAGGTGGAGGAGATGGTTCCATATTATTAGGAGGCAAACGTGTTGACTGCAAAGAATATAATTTGTAACATTCAGACACGTGCGCTGGAACTGATCAAATATTAACATATTCTAATACTTTTGTGATTTAACAATGTTTAAATGAAATAATGATCGTATGCATTTTATTTCGTTGGGTTTTCGGACAAAGGAGTTAAAACTGACAGGTGAGAAGACATTAAATTAAATCATAAGGACGACCATTGTTAAATTTTGTTCCTATAACATTTTTTCTAAAGTTTGATGTTTATCTAGACTATTCAATCCATATGCATCAACGGAAATGAGTTTCGAATGATCTTTTCTACTGAAACAAAAAAAAAAAATGTTCTATGTTTCACAGCTCCACTCCATCATCCTTAAAACACAAAAACTCAAACCTGTTTAGTCTTTATCTTCCGGGACTTCAGACCTTTGAATGTTGATTGTATCTTTATGGCCGCTTTTGCGACTTCTGGATCATTTAGATCAATGTCAATTTCATCTTCTACTGGAGCGGTAACAGGCGATGGTAGTTTGACGCTATTGATTGGAGGGGGACATTCTGACTTCTGATAAAATAATTGTTAAGACAGCATAAAGATTGACGCACTATAATCAGTGGATAACTAACGTGTATGAGTAGCCACAGTGGTCATCCTAAGGTGGAGTATTTGATACATCAAAGGGCTTACAAGGACGTAAACGTACGTCAGTAGCACACTCCAAAGATTATAATTAGACATAACATAGCCACAAAACAATTTAAAGGGCTTCATACAGTTGTCTTGTCAGTGATATAAAACGTCTAAAGTGTTGGGAACTGGCGACATCAATATATCATCCCGTAATGAAGTGTTGATAATTTTAGATTAGTGCGATAAAAAGAATATAATGAAGTGAATTTCTACTAAAGTTAACATATTACGGTTGACACAATCAAATTCAACGTCTGGTATTTCTGGTGCGATATTTAACATCGACGTTATGACAAATCCTGAGTGATATACACATATGAAATTCCATCAACGTGTAATGTCCTACTCCTGTTGAATTTGGGATCTTAAATTATACCCTCCATAAAACCTTTGATTACTACAACAATCACAAGTTTCAAAATTAAAGTTAATGTCAACATTTTCCACAAATTTCCACAAACACAACAACGAAGTGCAAACCTTTGTGTTAAGCTTCCGTGACTTTAAACCTTTGAATGTTGATTGAATCTTAAGCGCTGCTTTCGCAACTTCAGGATCATTCAAATCAATGTCAATTTCTTCCGTGACTGGAACTTTGACGAAAGGTAGAGTGCCCAGTTTTGTGTTATTTATATTAATAGGTGGTGATGACTACAGTGAAAAGAGAAATAGTAAAATCGTTTGATAACATAATGCACGAAAACAAACAATTATCTTTTTGTATAAAACATATAAAGCATAAAAACATCTGGCAAAGATTGTACAAAAGACAAAAGTGAATAACACCTTTTCATAACTTAGAGTCAGATACAGTAGTCAAACAATGAATTAAACTGCATCATACAACAGTTTCGCCCTCTGCGACCTCATCAGTGATGCTAAGGGCCATGGTGACAACTCAGGAAAATCTATCTTAAATGATCAAAAATAAAGCCAAAATCTAAACAGGGAAGTGCAGCAGCCCATAAAAAAATTATTTGAAGATGTTCAATCTTTCTCAAAAGAAAATAGTAATTATCATCCGATATGTAAGAGATTTCTCAAAGTTTTTTTTTTTGTTTTCGTGTCCAAGGTCTGACTCTTGGATGAAAATGGGGTACCCGGTAAGAGAATCGAAACCCGGAGGTCTATATATATATAAGTGAAAGCTGATTGCATTATCTCCGACCATCCATGAATTATGATATTAACCTGCTTATTCTTTTATCATTGTTGTGTCAACTTCACAAGGAAAACAACATCAATCTGGCAATCAATCTGATGAATTAATAATTTTTACAAAATGTGCTCCAAATTAAATCAAAACATGCATGCAACCCATTACAAACTCCCTGTGTTAAAAACATAACTTTGGTGTAAAGGATATGTACAACAAGGTAGAGAAGGTACAGTGGATCAGTTCTTCGGCAATATAACATAAAATGCAAATGAAGCCCGGATGGATCTCTGTGCAGATTTTGTTCCAATGTTCATGTTTTATATCATATTATCTTTAATACAAAACATTTCTACAATCGCTCCTAAAACAAGCAGCAAAGTAAGAAAGAGTAAGAAGCATAGACTCAAACCTCCACTTTCGTACTATCAGCAACAGTCGTCTTTGATTTTCGAGACCTCAGACTTTTGAAACTTGATTGGATTTTTACCGCCGCTTTTTCTACATCCGGGTCAGTGAGATCAATGTCAATTACTTCATGTGGATCATTCTCCATCGAGGACTGTAGGGATGCCAGTGAGGGTTCAGGGTCCTTTTAGTAATTACCCCGTAGTGAAATATTAGAAAGAGAAGTTCAGAATAAGAAGACAAATCAGCTTCACAAATGTTAAATGTGAGTGTAAAATAAATCAGTACCTTGTATTTCTTTATCATATATCAAAAACTGATTTTCTATGTTGCTGTTATCCACATACAAGTTTGAAGTTTATTTACAACTAGGCAAAGGTTTGGGGTAACTGATAAATTTCTGCGAGTTAAAACACAGCAGTTATCTATATGCAGCAGGCACTGTGGTACATGTATTTTAAATAACAAAGGTGAAAAAGAAACTAAGAAGACGGTAATAGGAACTAGGGAGATATCATTTCATTAGCAATGACAAGATGAATCATCCATAAACATGAGGAATAAATCAAAATGGTGAAATATGTACATTATTCGATAGCATGGAATTGTCTTCAATAACTCAACAACATTTCATGGTCATGTAACACTCGACTTGGCCAAAGAGAACCAAGGCCACAGAGCAATGCTCAGAGACCCAAGGCCACAGGGCAATCCTCCAAAAAACCCAAGGTCACAGGGCAATCCTCCAAGAGACCCAAGGCCACAGGGCAATCCTCCAATAAACCCAAAGCCAAAGGGCAATCTTTAATAAAGACCCAAGGCCACGGGGCAATCCTCAAAGAGAACTAAGGCCACAGAGCAAGCCTCCAAGAGAACCAAGGCCACATGGCAACCCTCAAAGAGAACCAAGGCCAAAGGGCAATCCTCCAAGAGACCCAAAGCCAAAGGGCAATCCTTGATAAAGACCCAAGGCCACAGGGCAATCCTCAAAAAGACCCAAGGCCACAGGGCAATCCTCAAAAAGACCAAAGGCCACAGGGCAATCCTCCAAGAAACCCACAGCCACATGACAATCTTCCAAGAGACCCAAGGCCACACGGCAATCCACAAAGAGATCTGAAGTAATGTGGCAATTCTCGATCATACATGGGGTTATGTGGAACTTCAAGATTTTTTTTATACCTCATCCATGATAACTTAAGTATCCTCTGAGTTTAAAAATCAATGTCTTTGCAAATCTGAATAGAAATCAGAGAAATGAAATTCCCAAGGTAACCCTAACCAAAAAAATATTCTTAACGACATCAGAATGATACCAGTAGCTCTGAAAGAGCCACAACGTTATTTTTTAATCATATACCACAGAGGACTGACAGTATGTATGTACAGACCATCAACACTGTACTTGTGAACTTACGAATCCTGTTCTGAAACTCCAAAATTTAAAAGAAAAACCATTGTACTATTTCAGCTTGAAACTATGTATTCAAAATGTGAAAATGAGTAGCAAAGACGATAAAAGTCATTCATAATATGACTGCAGAAATGTAAAGAAAAAGAAAATAATTAGGTTATGTCACTTGATAACAATGATATATATAAAACAAGTTTTCAAGTATGAAAGTTAACATATAGGATGTTGTGAGAGAAGTTGAAACATGTATAAAACATATGATATTAGAAATGTAGATTATTAACAAATAACAGTTCAATATTCCATATTTCAACAGAAACTGCAAGAAAATTCTGCAATAGTAATTTCATTAGTTTTTAGAATAATACAGTGAAAAGAGCTCGGTCTTGCAAACTGTGATGACAACAAAACTTCCCAAATGTTGTTTTGTATGCAGACCAAACGTGCTAATATAAAAGAATATTTCAGTAGACAATGCATAGACACTGTAAACAAGAGAGAGACAATTGACAGAAAGATGAGTGAATAAGAATGACAGAAAAAAGGTGATATTCAATTTTAACCACCATGCGAACTCCTGAAAAACTAAATATGAAAATACTTAAAATTAAGAAGAAAAAAAACAGACCAATGTGCCATCAAACCTTGACTGATTTGAGTTCCCTCCTTGTTTTCAATCCTTTATATCCGGCCTGAATTTTAGTGGCAGCTTTTTCCACATCAGGATCTGCCAAATCAATGTCTATTTCGTTGTTGTCCTTTACATGTTTATCGTCATGTATGTTGATAAATCCACCGTCGGTTTCAAAGGCCGACTGTAACACAAGCACACTAGTCTTTATATAGACCATGCAAGATTCGACTGATATTGATCTAAAGTGTTACTCGCTGTTATAGCAAATCTAGCCCTACCGCTTCAACTGATAGTAATACTTTTACCTCTACAATGTAATACAAAGTACCGTGAGTTACAGTTCACCTTCCTTTGTAATGCTTCTCATTAATTGCAGCTATGTTGTTATCCAATATAATCTTCACTGTATTCATAGGTAATCCAATTACGTGCTTTAGGTTTGTATGTTGTTACAAGTGTATAGACTTCGGTAATTACTGTTGTATACCAATTATCTTACAAATTAAACGCTATACAAACATTTGGTCATCATTGCATGTAATCTATTTGTAAATAGCATCATTTAGATATGTCTATTAAACCCGTCCACACCCGTTAACCCTGTCTATATTTGCATGATTCTCCCTAACTTTCACTCCAATGCTTTACACTCATTAATCCATCAACTCCCATTCTTACATTTGTGTTTTATTCATAACTCATCAAAAAAAAAGGCCAATACAAATTTTTGGCATGCACGAAAAAGATAATTTCTTGATTTATATCATAACAATTTCTGTCAATACAGCAAAGCAATGTATCGTTTAAAAACTTTTTCAATTCCAGTTACTCATAGTGATATTCGAAATAACAATGAAGTTAAAAATATTAAATTTTGAACACAGAAATCATTACAAAAACGATAAAATATCAATAAAACAGTGATATTCATCAGTAAGCAACCAAATGTTGAGAAGAAATCTCCGAATGAATTGGTTTCAATAATAATGAAAAAAATACACATATTTAAGAAAACACAACATCTTAACACTGTTCAAAGTTACAGAACTTATGCTAACAAAGAACAGTCATTCTCTATAATTGCTAGCAGTGTTGCAAAGAACTGAAACGTGAAAAACACCTACACCAGTGACATAAAAAATAGGGTAACCATAGCTGTCTTAAAATTCATCAAATTGTAACAGAAAACATAAAAAAATACCAACATGTCAACATCATCATCATCAAAACTCAAATTCCATACACAACAAGAAAATACCAACATGTCAACATCATCATAATCAAAACTCAAATTCCATAAACCTAGGACAAAATATGAACAACAGAAAGAATTACACTGAAACTCATGAAAAAGTACAAGAAGATTAAGACTAAATGGCACGGAAGAGCTAGAGTCTTCTGCTTCAGACAAATGTTTTTGTAGTTATGACCTTTTCAATAAAGAAAAAGAAGGCATTAGGAAAATCATATATAGGAATAGAATAAAAGATGAAATATCAGAATAAGTCTATAAATATAGTAATCTAGGAATAGGAATCTAGGAGCATCAATAAAATCAGTTCAGACTATTGAAGATTAGATGTAAATCTGAGATGGTATATAAGATCCTAAAACGTGATAAAAGTTGGTTGGTAAGGTAGTAGGTTTTGGTGTTCAGTCATGATGAAGATATCTATTGCACCACAGGGATCACCAGAAATGTAAGGAAATGACACTGTAGAAGACACGCCAATAAAACTGTACACGAACCTGAGATTCTGCGTTGGAGAGGCACAGACAGCGAGACATTAAATGACTCTTACATTGTAAAAAATACACAGCAGCTCAGGTTGTTCTTCCGGAGATATACACCAGCATCAAAAACAATAAATGTTCACATACACTTTCAAAAGTTTGAGCGATTGTTGTACAAGATTTTTTTTTCAAAATATTCAACCTAAGTCATACTAACAGTTGTTAAAACATTTGTGCTTTCTTTGGTATATACCGGCGCTTATTGAAACATATTCAACTTCAGCTGTACACAGACACTTTGTAAAACCTCTGCTATATAGATATTTTGTAAAACTCCCTACATAAATCTCAGCTATACTATAACAGTGTGTATAACACAACCTCAGCTATACTATAACGCTGTGTAAAACACAACCTCAGCTATACTTTAACGCTGTGTAAAACACAACCTCAGCTATACTTTAACGCTGTGTAAAACACAACCTCATCTATACTATAACGCTGTGTAAAATACAACCTCAGCTATACTATAACGCTGTGTAATACACAACCTCAGCTATACTATAACGCTGTGTAAAACACAATCTCAGCTATACTATAACGCTGTGTAAAACACAACCTCAACTACTTATTTTTTTCCACTGTTTTTCCTACCTCTAATATTCTCTAAAACTTTCCTCTAAGGTTGTAAATACAGCTTCAACAAATTCTTATCTGAATCAGAATCCTTATTTATTTTCTTACCTAACTTAAACATTGAAGGTTGTTTCAATCTTCCTTCAAACTTTCAAGACTGTTTGATCAACCAATCTAACAACTTTATATTCAACAAGGACTCTGTAAACAGATTAGTTTCGTTAAATTATCACTTGGCAACATCTAAGGAAACATGAGAGGTCAGGAAGCACAATGCCTTGAGCCTTGTATCTTGTAACAGGGTGGTGAAACAGACATATTGATCTGACAGGTCCATAGAAACAACGCTATGCTTTACCGAGACCACCATTACCAACGAAATGTCAAACTTACTTATGAATCTATTGTGAATATGCGCCTGTCATTTGTGCATAGAGATGGTTATAATCCTGTTCTGTAAGAGCCTGTCTATAACAGTCACCACTATATGCTTGGTAAAGAATTAAACATTAGGAAGTTGGAAAGCAGGGGATACCAAGCACTCATCTTTAAGAAAGACAGATATAATCAATTAAATTGCCTTAGAGAACATAGAAATGTATGGAATCATTTGAATATTGGGCTTCCTGCCACAGGGCACCTCCATTAACTGACCATTAATAATGGTGATGACTATATCATGAGGTTTACATATTTTACAGTTATTACAATATGAACAATATCTTAAATTGAACTTTTTTTTAAAAAACAGTGCATATATTTACTCAACATCCTGTATATAACTCACTTCAATAAGGCCTATAATACCCCTGCACCCAAAGGTGTCTCCATAGCAACAGGAAACATCAGGTAATAATTGTATGTATCTAAAAGCTCACCTCTATATTGTATATTTAAGTACCATGCCAAAATGAAAATGTATCAAAATGCAATTATACTGAATTATAAATAAACAGCAAAATTTACTCCCACAACTAATATAATGAAAATGTATCAAAATCAAATAATTGAATAAAAAGAGAGTTTTTCTTCAATAATTGATCAATCGGGACACTGCTCCTTTTCAGTGTAATGAAGTATCTAGTATCCAAAGAGACTGGTCCAAACCTGTGATGAATTTCTACATAATACCGAATAGAAAGAAAAATCCTTTGTGGATTCAAAACTGTTTGGTAAAAACTGAGAAAAAAGGACCTTTACAGAAGATTAAGGCGCCACAACAAAATGGGCAATAACTCTTTAAAAAACATTCTGATCCATCTGTGTAAAAATGTAGTAATTCACAAACCAAAATGTCCCACTATCAAACAACTGTTATTACAATGGCATATTTTTTTGTGTGTTCTTGTGTTTTAAATGTGAGATAACTGTGCAATCACATCAGCTATATGTCTGATGAAGTTGACAGAGTGTTGTCATTAAAACACTTCAAACAATTCTCAATCTGGTTGTACTACATATAAAACTGTGTGACAACAAACAGAAATGAAGGACCTTGAATTAAATCTGGTGCACAACAAAGATTGAAATTTATATTCACTAAACATGTATCCATGAGAAGAAATATTTCCACAGTATCCTTGAGATTCCTCTTTTTGCTCTTAGTGAAATGTGTGAATGCCAGCTATGATTGAGGTTTGGTTGAACCAACACACTGGTTAGCAGCAGTTATAGGCAAACAGTGAGACAATGCATAATTCCTTCATGAAGAATGTCAATGCTTGTTTAAAAAGCCTGAATCAAACCTTCGGGTAAAACCTTCCTGAAGTGAACTTTGTCGGGATATGTGATTTACAGAAAACCAATACGACTGTAAAAACAATAATACCACAATAACTTAATCTTTAATTTCATGCAGGTTCTATCTACCAAATATTTCCCTCTGTTATTTCACAGCCTTCAGGTCATACTTCATATAAAAACCCTGTAAACATCCTAAAGTGAAAATGAAATCATGCTGAAAGTACACATACTGATCAATTTCCAGAATAAAAAAGGAAAAACAGACAAAACTGAAAAAAAGGTCCATCTGAGTGAAAAATATGACAAGGTGAAATCTTCATCAGCACAACAGAAAAAAATCACAGATCACCAACAACGTACTAAAGTAGACTTATCGTGCAGATCGAACCTGTTTTTTACGAATTTCTTTTCGCACTTGATGACCTTTAAAACTAGCTTGAATTTTGGTAGCAGCCTTTGCCACATCAGGGTCATTTAAATCAATGTCGTCTGTATTACTGTGGTCCCCCTCAGACATCTCCGTGTCTTGATCAGGCTGAAATAAAAGGCTCATTTTGATTGGCTGGCAAGAGACCTTGTGCAGACAATATAAGAATGATATGTCATTATATAACAATCTCACAGAGAACATCGTGCCTGGTCACGACATATTTTAAAAGCAAACATGTCTCCCACTGACATTGCCGATGGAAAAAGTGCATATCTATCCCGTTGCTTATGGATATTGGTTGTTACGGAAACATAATTGACAGACAATGGGGGATATTAGATTGTGCCAATAATATACACGGAAATCCAATTACATCTGATTGTATATCTGTTCATATGAAGCAATCTGGTACAAAAAAATAAATACGTATGTCTGCTTTACTTGCCAACACTGCCAAAATAACTGTCAGATTAGATCCGATCTGGGATTATCAACATCCGAGACGAACTAACGTCCCCATTATTGTTGTATTAGAGACAAATGGCCTACAATAACATGATTACAAATTAGACGACAAGGGGTTTAACTTTCTCTGTAAATGGTATTTTATATTCTCATGGATAAATTGATTGGTTGTAAAACTGTCTGTTAAAATAGTGAGCTTTGACAGAGCAACACGTGAAGCTACACTTACAAATAAAAGACCACCTCTTCGTAAAAACCACCATGCTGCACAGACCACTCCATTTAAGTAACACATATAAAGTGTATTCTAATGTAAAACATCTAATTCTGTCTTCAATGCTTTTATATCATATTCCTGCCCTTGGGCTTATTTTGAAATTTGAGACATGAAAAACTGTATTTTGACAAACTAAAAAATGTCCACGACATGAATACCCCGACTCCCTGGAGGATTTAAGTATCATTGTTTGATGAAGTCACAGATGTTGTCAATATGACCTTTGACCCTTTAAATTACACCAATGACCACCACAAAGATAAGGAATAGAACCATTAACCAGATGTGTTGACAGATTCTCAACAAATGACTTTGCTTCAGAACGGACATGACAAACAGACATGTTAAACTACAGGCATTTTAATGGCTAGTATATAGAAAGGGGTAGATCATAACACAGGATTGCTTCGCTGAAATAATACTGATTTAAAATCGGGGTAGCGCGTAGGAAAATAGTATTTTTTAGGGTGTAATTCTATTGTTCATTGATCACAAGAAAACTTTTCATCAACCATCAATGGAAATTGATAAGACAGAATTAATGATAACAATATACTTAAAGTTTGCCTTGAATTTGACAAAAGATATACAAACAAAATTTCAAAATCATATCAAATCCCTGTAAAATAAATATTAATTGCTGTAATGGGGAAAATAGTTTTAGCAGCAAATATTGTTCAGGATGTTTCTGAAAATAAAATTTCATGACTGAATATCATAATTTACAAGCTGAAAGAAAAATATTGACATCACTAACATCATAAAAATGACAGCTTTCAGATCAATATATTGTGTATTAAATCAATTCTATAATGTATAACCATCAACAAGTCTGATTAGATAAATAATGAGTCCTGCTATCAAATCAAATTTCCCACAAAATGGTTTAATTTCATTTCAGCTTGTACTTCCAAAAATGTTTCAGTCACAGAACATTAAGGAATATTTTATCACCATTTTTTATTAAACTGAAATTTCAAAATAACTCAATTAGAAAAATGTTTATTAGGATACATGTAATAAAAGAAAAAAAAAAAAACACCAAACATATTGCATGCTTTTTAAAAAAACAAACAAAATTTTAGTTCTCACAAAAAAAAAATCATAGCTGCTACATAAATGTCTAAAGAAAAACATGCAAAATGTTATCAACACTCATTCTGACTTAATCCTGGGATTATTTACAGTTATTTGTTTGGGATGAATGTATTTTCTTGCGACGTGTTATGGGTGTGAACAACTGAAATGTAAAATCTGTAAATAACATCCAACATTACTTCAAGTTGGAAACAGAAAGGCAGAACAGCACTTTCTTTTTGTCAGGTTTCTTTCAGGAGACACTCACTACCACAATGAAATGTTAGTGTTACGAGGAATAGTTCTGAATCACTTTCCTACCAGAAGAACTCTCCATTTTGTGGGGAATATTTTCTCTCAATTCTTATAGAGACTTCGGGAATAATTAGCAAAACTGCAGTGATTTTGACACTAAATCAGACGGGACAAGGAACTAAAACAATATTTGTCAATTTGTGTTCGTAAATCAGAAACAGGGAATGACAAACTCCTAAAAATACCATTCTGTAATTAATTGAACCTTTTTTTTAATTTTGATGAATTTTACATCAAAACTTTTTTACTTATTGATCTACTTATTTTTATTTGTTTATTTACACATACCATGTAATATATTCAGGGGAAATAATAGATGTTTATAGAGAAGTGGCCAAAATTATAAAGTCTAAAGTTTTATGAGAAAAATGAACTAGTTCAATAAATCTCAATAAAATTGAACTCTTTCAACTTCAATAAAGGTCAGGGTAACACGGGAAGAATGACTCATGGTTCTTTTCATGAGGAGAAAACAGAAATGTGACGCTATTAAATCTGAGGTTAACACTAAGGCAGAGGGTGAAGGTCAGACAATCTGAGGTTAACACTAAGGACAGAGAATGAAGGTCAGACAAAGGTCACCTGAGACGAAGACTCTGCTCAAGAGTTTCAGAAGAATGCATGCATGGAAGAAATGGTTGTAGTGGTGGGAGACACACAGTTTACCGGATTAGTCTGAATCTTTAACTATTCTTGACTAATGGATTAACACTTCAAAGCATGCTGACTAAACTCAAATCAGAGACATAGGTTAGTCTTACTTAATAGGCTAACAGTAACACGTCCAGTCATTCAAATTTTATACATTTTCACAAAGCTTTAGTGTTTTCAAATCTATTTATTTTCCTTTTTTGTTTATATTACGTTTTAAACTCATCCTCCAGAATGTAGTCCTGATTACATCAATTTTCCCCAAAATTCAGAGGCAATTTTTTGCTGTAAATATCAGTATTTCCATTTTTTACTCATATTTCTCAAAATACTTCAATTTGGAATCAAATGGTTGATGAAAAAATTCTTGGCATTCATGTATTAATTTTCTTAGTTTTTGGGAGAAATTGAAGCCGTGTTTTTTAAGAATCGACAATATGCTAGTATTCATAACGTAAAATTAGTTTTTAGGGAAAGAAAACTACGCTGTAAAACAGTAACATGCAAGAACAAATTTATCCAAAAATATTCAAACCTGTTGTCCCTTTACGTCTTTACGGGTTTTATACCCCTTAAATCCTGCTTGAATTTTTGTAGCAGCTTTAACGACCTCAGGGTCATCTAAATCAATGTCTACTTTTTCTGGGTCTGTTTTCTCCGTCTCGGATGTTGGCGCGTCTTGGCTAGGCTGTAAAAAGTTGATACAGAATTACGATTACACCTATGACGTTTGAATTAGATATGCCTACAGTGGTATAGATCTTTGCTAACCCTAAAGGCACTTCCTAATTTTGTGTTTAAGTAAACTGCAGTTTTTGTTCAAGAAGAACGATGTTGGCCGAATTAAAACTAGGCATTCAATAGTAGTTACCAAGACAACTTAAAATATTCTGGTTTAAATGTCAAATAAAGATTAAATCAAATGCCAGGAGATATTTATCATACTGATGTATGATTTGATATTGTAATAATGACTTACAAGTAGAAAAGGCATTTCAATACCAATTTATAGTTAGAAAGTAGAGCGAAATTATGAACCAACATACAGCTGTCTTTTCCTTCTTGGACACGTCAGAGATGTTAAGTGTCATTTTTAGGAATAAAAGATTATTTTATTGAAAATTTATCAAGAATATAGTGTTGTGTGAACTTTTAAAATAAAAAAAGTGTATGTTTCAAAAATTATTTTTCTATTCTAATATTTGAACAAACTGATTTTTTTTCTCATTTTTTCTTTTGTGGTCATGCAAATGAGCAAACAGTGATTGTCAAAACCTTAATTCATACTTTGGTTTTTGTTATGGCAGTCGTGTATTTGTGATTTAAAACAATAACATGGCCAGATATACTGTAGAGTATTATATATTTTCATAGTGAGAAGCACCACAAACTTAATATTAAATACCTCCACCCTCCAATAAACCACAATAAAAACTGTGTACACTGGTCACCGCATTTACAAATCAACCAGTGCAAATAACATATTGAAAATGAATTACAAAATAAATATACATATTATTAACAAAAATCCAAAATTAATTCAGCTATTTGCAAATCCTGGAAAAAACATCTGATTAATTTTACACAAGGTTTTCTATTGTTTTCTTATTCTATTCCTGATTAAAAGATTGCTGAACGCCGAGGTGATACAATGTATATACAGCAACACTTCTGAAAAAAGAGTGCATGATTGCCAGCAAATGAATTATCTTATACTAAACTTCATTGTCGTTACTCCAGGGGTAACGATCACTTTCGCTCTCTGCACCTCTAGAACATGTCATGGCGAAATTGAAGGCACAAGCAAAGTTATTTGCTTAATTCTAGGAGAAAAAAACTAACCAATCACAGGCTGATACACTCTTTTCGAAGATTACAAAGGATCGACACCCAATTACATTATACTGCTATGACCTCGACATTTGTTTAATATGCATCAAAGAATCAAACTAGTATTTTCGTCTTGCCCACAAGGTGTCGCATATGGAACCTTCAATTTTGCCATGACACGTTCCAGGGGTGCAGACAGTGAACGTGATCATAATCCCAGGAGTATTGCAGATCACTTAACTTGTACACTGTAACCATTCAATGATTGATATCAAGAGATGCCAGCAAATATAACAACATTGTACAAAAGATATACAGTTAAATGACACAATTCAATACAATAACAAGACATATGTACAATTAAATTTTAATTCGTTGTTTAGAAAATAAATTTAACAAATTTACAAAATATCAAAAAGTAGAGATGTTGTTAGTAGTAATGCTGCTATATCACACACATTTAGTACAGAATGTTTACAACTGGTACAAGCAGGGTTGATTATTTGTTTTCAGTGTCATGTAGAATTTAATGTAAATGAGCACAAAAGATATATGATAGGAAGCTGTGTTGTTATGTTAATCACTTCATTATGTTGTATGTATAATAAATATGTTTCTAAAGGATAATCCTTTACATTCATTAATTTTTTTTAATGAAGAAAAAAATCATTGAAGAAAATAGCAAAACTTTTCTGGCATCTAGCAACTAGGTTACCTAATAGTACTTTGTTTCTTGTCTTTGACTTTTTTCCATTTATAATAGTACTGTTAAATATCCAGATCTGCTCCAGTCTTTATCTTACATTACATTACCTGGGTATGTATCAGAGCACCAGCACCAATCATGGGGAATTATAGGGGGAAAAAAAAAAAATTTGCAAATTTTGTTCTTGATCTGATCAATAAAAAGAAAGAATGAAGGAACATATAGGTGTTTCTCCACCAGAAAAAATAAATTCTACTTGTAGATTTCTACAGTAGCAACACACCTATTTTCTATATATATGTATATACACACTACGTCTTCCTGAAATAAGTATAGAGTTATTACCGACAACTTGGTATGTTATTATATAGTTATGTATATGTCTATTAAATACAAGAAAGGTTGATTCAAGGAAAATAGCAAGAGAGTTTGTTTTGTCAAGGTGCATTCTATGACAATAGAATTTTCCAATGATCAAGGTCAGAGCTGAGTTAGACCCATCCACTTGCTAAAATGATTTTGCAGAGGGAAAGGCGAGAAAATATCATCTAATTTGGCAGTGAAATATTAATTACTTCCATTTAAATATTTTCACCCTCTGGGCTAAAAAAAAAAAAAAATACTAGATAAAACCCAAATTAACAATAATATTTATTACATATAAGTACAGGTCAGAAACATTTACATAAATAAGATAAATTCAAGACAAAATAAGATGTTTGTAAAATTATAAAATATGTAAATAACATACTTTATAACATTAAACAAAACATGATCAATGAGAACATGATGGCAAATTATATTTACGAAGATTTCACTACAAAATTATGTGTGATACAGGACTTAAAATGAGATTTGGAAAACTATGTGGACAAATTAATTGTTCTCAAAAAATAGAATGGTGTGTTTCCTTAACAAAGCCGTTGCTATGCTATCTGATCAACTTTAGACACTCTCAATATACTGAGAAAAAAATAATATTGACATAAAAAATTTCCAGTTTTATTGAACAAATACAAAAATTAAAATGTTTATTGAATGAAAGAAATAGTTAAAAAAAATAAAAAAAAAACACCAGAATAATTATGTACCTGAGATTTTGAAAACCTAATGTCTAGTATGCACCCTGAAAAAACAATGAGCAACCCCAGAGTACTGGAGATATAGTTAAAACAGATTGGTGGTCTATGTTTTCTTTTGGACAGAGAGCAATAGAATATCTAACTAGTTAACTCTACAATTGTGTCACCTGTTGATTTTGCTCTTCAGTCTGTGTCGAAGGACTTTCCTCAACTTTTTCCTCTGATTTTTCATCTGTTGTTTTTTCAGCCGGAGTATCTGATACAGTTTCCTCTAATTTTTCTTCCGACTGAACTTGATTTACAGTTTCCTGAGCAATTTCTTGTGATGTTTGTTCTAACTGATGTTCAGCATTTTCCTCTGGCTCAGCCTCTGTTTTTTTATTAGAGGCTGATTCTTCTTCTGAAACTTCATCAGTTTTCTGTTCAGAAACTTCATCAGTTTTCTGTTCTGAAATTTCATCAGTTTTTTGTTCAGAAACTTCATCAGTTTTCTGTTCAGAAACTTCATCAGTTTTCTGTTCAGAAACTTCACCTGATTCTTCTTTAGAATCTGAAGTTTCCTGTTCAACTTCATCAGTTTTTTGTTCAGGAATTTCATCAATTTTAGTTTCATCAGATTTTTCCCCAGTTACCTCCCCTGTATCAGATACTCCAGCATCTTCTCCACCAGATGTCTCTCTCGTTTCCTGTGGTTTATTGAATTGCAAGTTTATATATAAGTTATTGGGTTGTTCAGATATGGGGTATTTTTCCCTATATATTACTAATAAACCTCTGTTATTATCATCTAGATACCTTATTAACCTCTGTTATTAACATCTAGATACCTTATTAACCTCTGTTATTATCATCTAGATACCCTATAAACCTCTGTTATTATCATCTAGATACCCGATCTGTAATCATTACAAATATCAAGAAACACTGATGATTGCCTTCTGGTACAAAAAATGTAAAGCTTTAACTACCGAAAACATAACAACCTATCTGATAATTCAGATATAAATAAAAATCATTCTTAAAGAGGAAATTTCAACCGTCTTCAGTCAAAATAAAACATAAATTCTGAATATATGTGTAAGTTATGAGATATCTTGACTGTTGTGATTTACTGTCATCAATACACTGTCAATGTGTAACTGTTGTGACTAAGAGGCTAAAATCACTAAAATTGTTGAAATATAGAAATATAATTTTTTTATTTAAAAAAACATAATTTACAACTATTTTTTTTTTTTAACTTTATAAACTTATTCTGTATATATACAGTGTGTATGCACATGTTTTTGGTATCAAGAGTGGTATTTCATCTTTATTTTCTTCACCTTGTATATTGAAACTGGGATTACAGTTTACTTACAGCATAAAGAAGAATTCTTGATAATCTGAGGCACATGTTTTAGATTTCATCAATTAGGGAGGTTTTGTATTTGTGCCTCATTCAGAGGTAATGGGAAACACTGCCTTATTTGAATTTTATCAGAATTGCTTGTGAATTACAATTTAAAGTATATTGCAGTCTGAGTCTAGGTCCTTATCCCTTTCACTAATGACCAATAATAAAAAAGAAATGACTTTGTATGAAGCAATTTCAAGACTGGTACAATAACACTGATGGTACTAGAGGTCTTACCTTCATTTCTTTTCTTGCTTTGTGACCGCGGAATCCTGCCTGAATCTTAGTTGCTGCTTTTTCCACATCAGGATCCTCAAGGTTAATATCAATTTCTTCTTTTTTCTCCTCAGTGGTCTCTTGTGCTTCCTAGAAAAGACAAGAACCTTGATCTCATTCTACATCAATCATTGGTACAAGTCATCCTTCCTACCCAGTAAATGGTACTCTTTCATCTTTCTGTTTCTAAAATTTCTTAACACGTGAAGTGATCATGAAATTTTTTGTATACATATAAGCTTTTATCTATAATGTGGTGACCTTGGACATAATAAATCTTAACCAGTAACATGTAATCAAACTTATTCACACCATCAACAAGACGATGTGAAGCTTTGGTGTAAATACAAACTTAATCTGGACCATTTTGTAGTAAATTGAAACTTTTAATTCAAATGTGGCCTTCTGATAACCTTTGACCTTCGAAAATTAATGAGGTTTTCGTTTGCCACCACCGATTAAAATTGTGCACCGTATCGTTTCCCAAAACAAGGAGCCACTGAGTGTGGCATTATATCCCCCACACTCAGCTGTTGGTGTAATACATGATATCTATATATACCTATGTATAACGATATAACAATTTGTGACATCACCCAATTATGTATCGCTACGATCACCTCAAGTCCTAATACAGTAAAAGCACTAGCACAAAATGCAATGTTTTCTTTAATTATCAATTCAATTTCCTTGCATTTCAACATTATATATATATCTTATACATCAACCTTATAGTTTATATCTTGATGTAGATCCTGTGTGTTTGACTGTTAATATTTGAATAGAGAGCTCAGTATTGTCCATGAACAAATTTATGCAACACTCTATAAGCCCTGGAGTAATACTAGAAGTCACAAAAAAAATTGAAAAAATTGATGGTAACAGAAAAAATTTTAAAAATGATATGTCGTCTATAGCAAAAGGCACAACTAGGGCACTAATCTAATAAATACAGAAAGCTTTGTAGAATTGAATCAAACGGTTTTGAAGTTGTAGCCAGGAAAGAAAAGTAAACACTAATTTGGTGATTTTGGGCAATGTTTCCATGGTAACACAAATAATCTAAAAAAAATTAAATGTCATCCATAGCAAAAGGCACAATTCAGGCTTTAACCTAATATATACAGAAAGTTTTGTGAAGGTTTAGTGGAATGGTTTTGAAGTTATAGCCTGGAAAAAACTCTCGGATGGTTGGACGAATGTACACACGCATTAACACATAGATGGACAGAGCCAAAATTAATATCTCCTGCAAACGTGTTTTGCAGGGAAAAAATAATTTTCATGTTGTGCACCATAATGTTTACAATAACAAGTTTTTTGATGCATGCATAGTTAGTTCCATGTTATAGATGTAAATAAGTATTATTTAATCAATAATCATAAAATCCCAAACATTCAAAGTGATATGAACTTTGAACTCTGACCTACCTTTCTGGCCTTGACTTCCTGTCTGACCTTATGACCTCTGAATCCAGCCTGTATTTTAGTAGCCGCATCATTAGCATTTGGGTCACGTTCTAAATCAGCGTGATCGTCTTTAGCCTTAATTAATCAATAAACAACACAACAAACTAAAGCAAACCAAATCATGCAGAATCAGTGGCAACAAGTTAGTGGCAATAAACACTCGTGGCAGCAGTAACAAACAACAAAAACACTAGCAACAGTAACTATTGGCAACAACAATATTTGTAGCTCGCCAGCCTCTTATAACTACTGTTATCTTTATAAAAATACATTGCTGTGGCAACAAAGACTTTCTAGCTACAGAAACAACTGTAAAATTAATTTGTAAATATTTTTTTTTAATTTTTAGTTTCTTTTTTCTTTATTTTTCTTCTCTTCTGAAGTCACTTAGTCTGAGCCCAATAGAAATAAATAAATCTACACTCTGTTAAGGACGAAAGGTATTGAGGTCATTAATTTTGGTGACAGCTGATGCTATTGGCAACAGAAAGACATATCAACTGTTTCCAAAATGACAATTTTTTTGGTGACGATGGCCTCTGCTAAGGAAGCACAATAAACAGAACTTTATGATACAAAATTGATTTCCACCATAACATGTTGTTATAGTGAGGCATCCAAAGCTACAAATAGTTACAAACAACATCAACTCCATGGCTATGTAAATATTGTCTTTTATGATTTTAATTTCATTTCCTATTATAAGTTTAACTTTGATTTTCACATTGGCAACATTTTAATATTGATCAGAATGTAAAGGTAACACTGGTAAAATACTAGTCGGTACAAAATACTTCTCGACTGGAGAGAACTTCTCTTTGTCTCAACTGAATGAGCATTAGACTAGTAAGCCAGAGGTCCTGGGTTTGAATCCTAGCGTAGGCATTAACCTTATAATGGCACATATGTAGGGACTCGAAAATTTTAACAGGCGTTACAGTGACCTCTTAAAATTTGAGGATGGTTTATTTCCTAGGGGTGGGGGGAGGGGGATGCAGGGGTGTGTAGGGGGTGTTGGTGGAACCCTGGTGATGTACTAACCACTACAATACACTGCTTGACTTGCGAGAATTTCTATTTATCTCCATCAGTTGAATTAAATTAGTAGACCACAGGTCCCGGGTTTGAATCTTAGTCAAGGCATTAAAATATATAATGACCTGCGTTACAGAAAAACAGGAAAAAATATCTGTTGTATGTATATAACATGACATGAATTGCATTTTTCTTGATATCTAAACTGTATAATTTTTTAAGTGTTATTTTCACACTGTACATGCTTTCCTAAGAGAGAAAGTTGGTTACAGAAAATTGTTAACCCCTGTAGGGTTAAACAAATACTACCAAAATATCTGACCAAATTCACTCGGAAGAACAAATGATTATCGTCTGTGAGTTTGTATCTAGTTACAGGGAACATATATCTTGAGGTAAGTTTCATGATGATGATATTAATTGATATCAGATACTTGATAACTAAGGGTTGTCATGGGAACGAAGTTTCAACTCTGGATACCTGCAATCTTGTTACCCATAGTAAAGTTATCATACAGAATCCAAAATTACAAAGATCATTGACTTATTTATAATGTTCAATAGAATGTTGGTTTTTTTTACTACTTAGTGAAATTTTAGTTTGAATGTAGGGCAGTTTGAAGGATTCTTTGTAACATTATAACAATTACTACAAAGAATTTTTTATGATCCCCTGAGACCAGTAAACACTGTTTTATGTTTATAGTGTTCCGAGTTGACGCCATTACAGATTAAACTTCAAACGGATCAGCTGAGAAAATTACACAACAATTTCCTATATCTTGATGAATGTCAGCTATTTGAAATTTCAAAAAAAAAAGAGAAATCAAATACTAAAGTAGAGAACAGTACAGTGAACTTTGATAAATGGAATTAAAAGTAAATATTACCACAGTATTATATTTTTGGTCGATCATTATTTCAATCTACATGATAAAATGCTCATTTATTCATTAAAATGTTTCTAACTTTACAACAGGGTGAACGGCTAATTTATCATTATAGTGAAGTATTGATCTTTTAAAAATAAATTTCGTTGATAATGGCATGAAGCATTGAATAATTGATCAGAAAATCTTCAATAATTCATGGTTGATAGCAGTTTTCATATTCATGTTCTACATCGTACTAAAGAGGCGTCCTTTTGATAGACAGATCAATAACAGGTCCCTCTACTACAGTCTACGATAGAAGATGTTACAAGCAATCCCATTGGTCAATCAGGATTTAGAGATAGTTATAAGAGACCCACACTTCTGGTTAAAGAACTATTTTTGGTCTCAGATGTCTTGAATATTCTTTGCTTCAGTGAAAAGTTGGTTTTTATTGAAGTTTTTGTTAAAAACCATGTTAACATATTCTGTAGTCTCAAACAAGAGGCCAATGGAGCCTGCATCACTCACCTGGTTTTACTTCAAACATCTATAATAACTCCTGTTTTTCCAAAAGATGACAATTTTGTAAAGCTTAAAACTAAATTTTGACAAAAACCAAAGATGTACCTCCATCTAAGCAGAAAAAAAGATTGATCTCCAACTCAATCTTGCTCCTATATCTAATATCCGGCTCTGTCCCTCTGCAGAATCTTGATTTATATAACACTGAGTCAACTACATCCACAAATATTTGAAACAAAATTATGTCAAATTTGATTTCAAAGATTACATCTATCTACCATATTGGGATATGCCCCTCAGCCCTCAGATGAGTGAGGAGACCTACTGTTTACAACATATTTAATTATTATGATTACAGAATGCTTTGGACTTTCAAGAACTTGAAAAAATTTTCCCTATTGGGGCTTATCCCTCAGGCACTTGGGTGCAAATTACCAACAAGTTATATAAAATTATTTCGTGTTAACTATAGCATGCTTCTGAACAAATATGGTTTAAACACTTGAAGCACTTTCATCCCAACAAAATAATGATTATTGCTTCCTATATGCCCCTACTGGGCCCCATCCTTTGACCCCCTGTGATGTCACAACAATTGCTTACACTAAATAAAGCTTCATTTTACCTAAGGATGCTTCAGACCAAAATAGGATAAAACATTAGCATTCCTACAAAGGAGGAAGATTAATATTAAAGATATTGCTTTATATATCCTTTTGGGCCCTGCCCCACAGGGAGGCATGACCAAACATTTACATAACCTGAGTTCCCCTCTTTCCTAACATAAGTTCTTTTGACCATATTCAGTTTAAGTACTTTCATCTGTACATAAGAGGGTTTTACAATTATTCCTCTATTTGCATGCCCCTCCTGCCCCAGGGGGCCCAGACCTACCACTTATATTAAACGAATCCTCTTCACCAAAGAATACTTCAGTCCAAATTTGGACAAGCTAGGATCTTTCTATTCCTATCCAACAGAAGAAGAGTGATTTCAAAGTATTTCCTTTTTTGGGGCCCAACTTCAGGTCCCACTGGCCAGGGCCAAGCATTCATGCAAAGATGAGTCTTTATCCCCTAAGGATGCTTCAGACAAATTTGGTAAAAATCTGCTTCGTCGTTCCCGACTAGTAGCGATTTGTAGAAAAAAGTATAGAGACAGATGATCGATGCTGTGCCGTGGTATTAAGCTCACCATTATATATAACAAGGTGATCTAGAAATTGATATTTCTTCCAGTTTAGAGAGCTACAATACCCTAATGTACTGTATTTATAATTGAAACTCTCACTGTCTTATCCCATTTATAATGATGACGCCAACCTCGCCCAATTAGCATGACAAGTCACCACTCAGGTGCATCAGTATCAAATGATAGGTAAGTATAAATATTACATTACCATTATATCATGTACCTTGCCACCAGGGATATTATTATCCTGGGCTAGTAAACCTACCGACAATATATACAACAGAATTACACTATCCTGTACACTATTACTGTAGTTATCAAGACTATTCGATATGACATTTTATGTACAATAAAGGAACTGGTGAAGGATAGGTATTTTTTTCACATCACAAATATAGAATCACAGACAAAATTGAGTCAAAGATAAAAGCCAAAATATTTGTTAATATCGATTTTACTAAGCACCAATACATTTTCCAAAAAAATTGGGGGACATATTCAAAACAGATCTATGAAATTCCAAATAAGTTCAGTTTGAATTTTTTCCATCAATTTTTTTCTGAATGACGACGAAATTTGCTTTGAATTAGGTTTGCTGCTTTCTCTACTTCAGGATCCTCAAGGTCTATGTCAATTACCTCTTCAGATTCTTGTTGTGTCACAGTTGTCTCCCCCTGATTTCCTTCTTCTGTTGTTTCTTCACTCTTACTCTATATTTTGAATTAGATATTTCTGAGATATATTTTCAGTTCTAGCAAAAATAATTAGATAAAAATGCTAACAAAATGTTGCCATTTAGAGGTATACATCATCATGCAAATGAGGATAGCAGTTCATGCAATGGATAAGACTATTGCAATGGATAAGACTATTTCATTACTTTGGATAAGATTATCTCCCTTAGTTTGGATATGATTATCTCCCTTACTTAGGATTAGATTATCTCCCTTAGTTAAGATTAGATTATCTCCCATACTGTTGATCAAATTATCTCCCTTACTTAAGTGGTTATTAAATGTTGCAACAATCTTATTCAGTAATGTGAATTAACATCAAGTAACTTTCACTTCTTAACAATGTGTTACAACTTGTATTGTCTTAAACATTTTTTTCTCAAACTAAAAACAGCTTTTTAATCAAATATTTAATAGTGTAGAGATCTACAGCAAATACAAAACAACACATTTAAAAGTTAAAAGGGAGAGATTACTCAAACATTTTTTTTTCACAGCCTTACAGCAAAGTTTTGTACAATGAAGAGATAGTGATGTCCAATAATTGAAAATTCAAATTTCATTTGGAATATAAGGGAGATAATCATTTGACATAATGATTTTTTGTGTCAAATTGCTGATTTGTGTAATGAAAATGTGAGATTGAAAGTGAAATATAAAGTGCAAAAGCATATCTTGCGTGTTAAACACCACAAACAACATCAGCCAAATCTAGTCAAACAAAAGCATTCTTCACGTTAGTTGCTGAAGCTTTCACTCCATGAAAACATTTTCTCAGGCAATGCCGAGACTTACCTTGCCAAACTGAAGACCATAATGTAAGTTCTCACTTCCAAGACTTAAATCATTCGAGGATCTGTACTTGATTATATAGAGTTCACTAAAACACAACCCACAACTGTTGTTTGAAGTCATTTAGTGACTTTATACCATCCCTTTTATAGATCTTACCTTTCACAGCTGAAGTTCACGCAAATCCGGTCAAAGGTCAGAATATGACCTTTAACCTCTAGTGTCTCTTTTTGGTTCTTGCTGTCAAGATCAAGCTGCGCTACTGTTAATGGTCAGAATAATTTGTTTCCTGACAAATCAATCAGTCTACGGTTCAGACATGGATTGCTACTTACCTTAGATTCCTTAACCTCTTTCCTTGCCTTGTAACCCTTGAATCCTGCCTGAATTTTGACAGCAGCAGCTGCAACTTCTGGGTCCTCCAGGTTGATGTCAACATCATCTGACTTAAGTCTTGCCTCAGTTTCTCTGTAATATGACAAAAAATATAATTTTCTTCTTCCTTTTATCAAATTTAATAAGAAACTATAAAATATTGCCTCCAACTTCCCCTCCCCAACCTATCCCCTACTCCAAGGCATATTGACACTGACTGATGAATTTGCAGAAGTTTTCAAAAGTGAACCTTAACCCTTTAACCTTGCCCTGTGAATATGAAAAATTGGGTGCAGAACTATCATAGTACAGTGGTTAAGATATGAATCAGATCAGAGATGTTCTATAGATGTGAAATCAGTTGATGAATTGGACACAAAGGACGAATACAACACCATTTGTATATCAATATTGCATGATTTCAAGAAGTCATCAAGTTGATGTGTGATATTCTGAAGAAATGCCAGTATTCAAATGAAGACAAAAAAGAGGAGAAAAGTAAAACTGTGTCTCGGTGATTATTCATGAGACTCCTTTCAATTAATTGCCAAGCTAGCTCATGCATAGCTATATGTATGAAATGATTCTTAGACACCTAGGTTAGTACAAAACATCAACAGAACCAAAAGATAGTACTGTACATCAACAGATAGCTAAGTTAGTACAGTACATCAACAGAAACCTGAGTTAGTACAGCACATCAACAGAAACCTCAGTTAGTACAGCACATCAACAGAACCCTAAGTTAGTACAGTACATCAACAGAACCCTGAGTTAGTACAGTACATCAACAGAACCCTAAGTTAGTACAGCACATCAACAGAACCCTAAGTTAGTACAGAACATCAACAGAACCCTGAGTTAGTACAGTTCATCAACATAAACCGGAGTTAGTACAGTACATCAACAGAACCATAAGTTAGTACAGTTCATCAACATAAACCGGAGTTAGTACAGTACATCAACAGAACCCTGAGTTAGTACAGTACATCAACAGAACCCTAAGTTAGTACAGCACATCAACAGAACCCTGAGTTAGTACAGTACATCAACATCAACCTGAGTTAGTACAGTACATCAACATAAACCGCAGTTAGTACAGTACATCAACAGAACCCTAAGTTAGTACAGTACATCAACAGAAACCTACTTTAGTACAGTACATCAATCTGATAACACCCCTACATTATATCACAGGTATTCAGATACTGGTAATAGAAACAAAGACTTACTTGACAATCATTTCCGATCTTGATGTGGACGTCAGCTCATTCAGACCTCTACTGATACACATTACTCCACCTAATTACTTAACATTATCCGCTAATAAAATGTGACCAGGAATAATTTGATCAGTCTATTCTCATTACCAGACTTGGCACTGACTCTGCCTTGAACACAGCCACAAGCACAAGACAGATAACACTTCATAAGAAATGAAAAACTGTATCTATATATACTTCAGTTCGTCCTGATGACCTTTGACCTCTAATAACCTTTCAACTCTGTTGTTACTTGTTTCTCTTGTTGATCTCTGACCTTGAAACTCAGCAGAACTTACTTCACATCATAAATATTTTGTTTGGTGACCTCTAACCTCTGACCTATGAACTCTGTGGAACTTACTTCAATTTGTCAACCTTCTGGGTGTCCTGATGACTTCTAACCTCTGACCTATAAACTCAGTGGAACTTACTTTATTGTGTAAATTCTCTGTCGGCGCTAGTGACCACTGACCACTAATGACCTATAAACTGTGTGGAACTTACTTCATTTCGTCAACCTTCTGTCTGTCCTGTTGACCTCTGACCCCAGCTTGGATTGTTGTGGCGGCATCCTCCTCTCGCATACCCTCCACTTCTTTTTTGGCAGAGTGTCGTCGATATTCTGTCTGGATCTTGAGGGCAGCATCTTGTTGCTGAGAATCCCCACTGTCTACACCTGGCGACTGCAACACAAATAGATCTCTATAAAACCGTCACTTTATTGTGGTATCAGTTCTGATTTCTGACTAAATTACATAATCTTTAATGCACTTTGCAGACTTTCTGGTCTCCTTTCTGATAACAAACCCTAATGGTACAGATATCATTGAATCTTACACCATTGATTTCCTGGATGTGTTACTATTACACCAGCAATGCCTAAAATTCTGGGTCTGTCTAAAATCTAAGTTCTACCATTTTTATCCTTCAATAAGACTATAGAGCTTATAAAGAAATTCTGGCTCAATGTCAGAGGGTGGGCTTATTACACGACAGAAAAATAGCATCAGTCTTATAAGGGGTAGGGGTAGAGGTGGGGGTTGAGGGAAAGACTTAATTTGTGAGAGAGGGTGCCTACTTGCAGTATATTATGGTACACTTGTGTAACCCTGGTAAAATACTAGACAGAAAATACCGCTCGGCTAAGGAGAACTTCTCTTTAGCTCGATTGGTGGAGTGTCAGATTAGTAACCAGGGGTCCTAGATTCGATTTCTGCCCAGGCATTGAAACAGATAAAGACCTCTGTTACAATTGTATAAAGGAATGGGTTGATTACACAGCATGGGTTTATTGTGTGGTAAATTTCAGTGGTTGATATATCATGAAAGATTTCATCATGTTTGAACAAGTTAATAGTTCACACTGTAACATGACTTGTCACTCGTTGTATACAGGTAACGTTTGTTTGCCTAGTTTTGGACTAGCCACAATGCTTTTAACACATTGTCTCCTTCTACTAGCTCATGGCTGTATCTCGCTGAAAAATTACTAGTATACACCACCTAACATAATCAATATCCCATACAACAGAAACTGACATATTCCAACAGGGGAAAAAATAATTGAAAAAATAAGGCTGGGACCTTCACTATCAGATAACCCATCAAACTGGCAGGCCATTCTTCTTTCACGGATCCCTACTTCAAAGTACAAACAAACACACCATTATGTGTAACTATAGGACTGATTGTCACTTCATCTTCCTGTTCAACGTTAAAAAAATAAAACATTAACTGCTTCTCAAAAACTCCCAAAAGGTTTTCATTCATATCTTTTCCTTTTAAGAAAAAAAGCATCTTATGAAGATGATAATTGTAATAGACAGTTGATCTTAAAGCTAAGATTCAAGGTGCATGTTTTGACATATTTGCCGGTGGTTTCTTAAGAAGCTGAGACACAAAGCAGTCTGTGCAATGTAGTTGTGTTACAAGACACTTAATTGCTCTAAATGGGACGGGCCTCCAGCATATTGTTCACTGAGGAAGAAACCGGTTACTACAAGGAGACCCAGACTCAAAATGATCCTGACCTTTCACAGAGTGATAAGCACAGCAAACAGAGTTTACAGCCAACGTTTCATCTTATAATCATTTGTTTGAAATTCGTACAATAATAGCGAACATGTTCTAACCAAAAGATACATTTTTCACTGTCATAAAGAAGAAAAATAAAAACACAAGCGATAGATCTCAATCACTTATCTACTTGACAACTAAATCACCAGCATGTCTACGGGCATTTAAGCAGACCTGACACTGTGCTTACTTGTTCAGAAAACACAAAGACTCTAGTAAAATATTCTAGTCTCTCGGGCGATCCTTATTAAAAATTTATAAAAAACGTTACTGAACATGTTGTGTCATTGTTGGACACCCACCAGTGTGATGAGTATATATGCAATGTACAGAACTCAGGGCACATCTAGTTATTTACCTGTGTGATGAGTAAATAGCAGTGTACAGAACTCAGGGCACAGCTAGTTATTTACCTGTGTGATGAGTATATATGTAGTGTACAGAACTCAGGGCACAGCTAGTTATTTACCTGTGTGATGAGTATATATGTAGTGTACAGAACTCAGGGCACAGCTAGTTATTTACCTGTGATGGGTAAATAGCAGTGTACAGAACTCAGGGCACAGCTAGTTATTTACCTGTGTGATGAGTATATATGTAGTGTACAGAACTCAGGGCACATCTAGTTATTTACCTGTGTAATGGGTAAATAGCAGTGTACAGAACTCAGGGCACATTTAGTTATTTACCTGTGTGATGGGTAAATAGCAGTGTACAGAACTCAGGGCACAGCTAGTTATTTACCTGTGTGATGGGTAAATATGTAGTGTATGTTTGATAATGGCGATAGTTGATAATACATATACAACCATCACCCCCTCCCCCTCCTCCCACACCCTTACCCCCCACCCCCCCACCCTGCCTTCCCACCTTACTAATCCCCCACCTCCACAACCACCCTTACCCCCCTACCTCCCCACCCTACCTTCCCACCCTACTAACCCCCACCTCCACCACCACCCTTCCCACACACACCCACACACACACACCAAAAAAGCCAAAAATAACCTCCTACCCCATACAACCAAGAAGATATAGTTTATTCATAATCTGTGCAATATGATTTCTGGTTTAAAAGTGACCAGATATCACTTTCTCAAGATAGGATACTGATTTCAAAAGGGTGTTAGAGGATGGATATTACATACAATGGTTATACTGAATGATCCACATGCATTACTGTACAATGACGAGGACTTAATAAACATGTGCATATGGACAACGTGCACAATACAAAAATATATAGACTGTAATTGTATGTATGCTGCTATATATAACGAACCTTATAAACATGTATCCCTCTACCCAATTTCTTTCTGTCAATTATTTCCCATCTTTGACATTCGATGAATCAATAATCTGTGGGAAGTTTGATCAGTCGAGCACAGACTCGAGTCCGATAAACTGTCAGGAGGCTAACCAACAGACATTGTTAATGACCGATCATTGTAGACGGGACCTTACAACATAAAACCAATAACACACCAGCATCTGATTGGTGAAGGTGGACAACACGACAAACTATCGTTATAAAGTTACTGACAACAGTCCATTAGTGAAGATTGTAGATATACATGTTTATAAACATGATCAACCTAACGAACCAGTGTTACTGTAGTCTATACACATGCTAGGAGATATTTGTCTCAAAAAACAGAAAAAAAAATGTCAGAAATTTAAAATCATATGTAAATATAACATAAATATAAGTTATTATGTTATAGTAAGGAGATATTCGTCTAAAAATTTTTTTAAAAATTGGCATAAAATAAAAATCATGTAGAATATGATTAATATTTAAAGCAATACTCTACAACACAGAGATAAGTAATTAAGTTTTGAAAATTTTTTAACCAAATTCAAATTTTCTTCACACTTTTTGAGTTTCATTAATTTTAAAGTTCTGTTTACAAGTCAATATTTTTGTTTCTATAAAAGAAGACTTACCCTGAAAGCATCGTTGTTGTAAAATCGATCCTCCATACGGGCTCCATGGACAGCAGGATCATGACCAGTCTCTGATCAACAGAAAAACGCATGTTACATTATTGTTACAAATATGGTATATTACCTTATTTCTGTGTGTTCAATATCAGTGATGTAAAACAAATCTTTAATTTTATCAAGACTTCTTTAAACTAAGGTTTTTATTTCATTCAATCTTATCAAAATTATTTATTTATAACAATAAACCTTGTTATCTTAAACTTGTATAACTCCAAGACCTTGTTTATATTTCAATGTTTTCCGTCGGATCCTGCCTAACTTTATGCAAAACACTCGAGGTCACTTTCAATCGAATGCTCAGTTATCTTGAAGTTTACCCATGGTCCTGCCGAGGCTTGACTGTTTTTTCAACAGAACTTTTATTTTCTCAATGGTTTATATTCATTTTTATTTCATTTTTTTCCCACTTCTATCTTTTTGTCATTTATTGTTCAAAGATGGTGAAAAATAAAAATCTTAACACTTGACTCTTTTTATGATTACATACTACATACTAATGTTGAAAACATTTGAAAATTTTATTGCCGAAAAGAAGACTACATGACTGACAAATGTCTGAGAGCTTTAACAGGTTTTCATACACAATGTCTGATTAACATAAAAAGTCTGTAGTCATTTCCATCAAAGCTACAAGTACATAAAAAAGGATCAGAAGAATAAAATATCGCCGTGATCAATGATAATATTTATTTTGTAATTCTTTTTGTCTAAGGCAATGCAATTATTTAATAGAAATTTTTTTTTACTTCCTTTATTTACTATATGTTCATATCACTTATGTCCAGCTTAACAAAAATCAGTCAATGGACCCAATGACAGAAAAAGCTGAGTATTTGAACACTAACAGATCTAATTGTTGTGGGTAAACAACTAATTGAGGAGGATGGTTATAAGGTAATGAAAAGCTGAAAGAAAAAAAATCAAACATTTCACACGATTGCCACTAAACATGATATGACGGCTGCAGGAGAATGTTCGTGAATGTCAGAGAGACGATCATGTCTGTTTAAATCAATACTTCAGAATTGAGCCTGTTGGACGAGACTGTTCTTTTCTACTAAAAGATAGATAGACACATGTGCTTGCCAAAAAATTCCTGAATATTTCCAACAAACCTATCAGGCACTTTGAAAAGCTCCTTCCCTGATACTACGGGTGATGAAGTAGAGTGTGATTCTAAGACATATACATTTTTAAGGACCGTAATTTCACATCCATCATACTATAAAACACTATGAGAGACAGACCTACGAACAACAGAACAACATGTGAATTTAAAATCTAGTTGTTGGAACAGTCAAAAGTAAAATTTCTCTGACTATGATAAAAGCATTTTGAGACATTTCAACAAGAAATGCCAGCCATTGTGGTTCTGTGTCAGTGTGAGGTAAACTGTTCCCGATGGCGAGGTCTGGCATTGATCCGACCTGAACATCACTACCTCAGCTGTTGGATCAATGGTTACGTAGTGCTATACATGGGACGGTTTTTTCGGGGAAAACCATTACCCATAATATATGTATAACTCCTGTGAGGTTTTGATCTACAACACTCCTCATTATAGTGAAGAAAGATATGTGTAGTTTGAGATGTCGGATCAAAGAATGACTATATAACACATGAAGCTCTATCATGTTAATTGGAGTCTAACTTCTGACCTCCAGGTCATGATCTTTGGGTCATTGACCCTTTACAGACCTCCATGTCAGGCCATTTTTGATCATCAACCCCTGTCATATCTCAAGGTCATGACCTTTCAACCATCGACCCCTTTCATATCTCACGTTCAAGATCCTTCAATCATAGACCCTGTCATATCTCAAGGTCATGACCTTTTAACCATCAACCCCTTATATCTCACGTTCAAGATCCTTCAATCATAGACCCCTTTCTTATCTCAAGGTTGTCATTTTTCAGTTATTGACCCCTGTCATATCTCAATGTCATGACCTTAAACTATGAACCTTCTCCATATAGATGTCCAGGTGTGACCCTTCAATCAGTGACCCTTTGATGCCAACATAAGCTGTGGTTCTCTATAAATGAGCTGTTATATTACCTTGGTTATGTAAAGGCCATTACCATATAACTGTATACAAGGTGATTTGTATTACTTATGAATGGACAGGGGAAACTGGGTTAAAAAGATTCATTTGAAGCTCAAACCTGAGCTAATGATGAGCAATAAGATTTACAGGCATTCAACCAAGAGTTATAGAATGGTTAAAAGGATTCATCATATAACAGCTAAGTCAACATTAGTGTCTGACAACATGATAACATAAAATATTTTCACTTTTCAACTTAAACTTTAAGTCTTTTTGAAATTAAAATTACAATGATATATCATCCTATGAGCAAAGTTAACATGATTCTGTGATCTTAACCAACAAATGTAACCTTATACAATTAAAAAAAGTTCTGTCTTCCATTTCCTATGACCTTTAACCATTTGACCCGATGACCCAGCAATTTAATTCGCTGCCTACAAGACTTTAACTTATGACCGACTAGATGTCCTCTGACATCTGGCCCTACCTCCTGTACTGGTAGAGCTCTCCGATGGAGGGATTCTAGAAGTAGAATTGTTCCTTTGGTTTCGTGCTTTATTCACAACTTCAACAAGGCGTGAGAACTTGGTACCCATGGTGATAAGTATTATAATTCCGAGTTCAAATTCACAAAACTAGCTATCAAAAACTGTTTCTTTCTCTTCTGCATTTACACTTTGGACTTTTTATTCCAACATGGTATACACTAATCATATCACACTAATGCATTGGAATCAGTTAGGCCATTTTTCACAGCTGAATTTCATTAACTGCAAACAGATATATTCCTTCTCTGCTGTTGAACACTTGTTAGAGTCAACCTTCACTTATAGTTCATATCACACTAAAATGCATTGAAGTCTCCATTAATAATCCTTCCAATCAGTCAGCGTAGAAACCAATCCCATCAAATGTCCCGTGTCTCAGCGTCTACTGTTTGCTCTTTAACCACCTACTGTGTATTCTATGTTTTACTCATAAAGATCATCCACTAAACTCCCTGTACTGTTGCATTCTTGAAACTCGAGTTGAAAATATTGACAAACACTGGGTCCTGTTAGCAAGAGATGTCACACCTAGTCTGTGTACCAAGGCCATTCAGGCGAAACCACTCTAGCTGGGTCGCTCAAGCGAGGCATGGCCACTTTTGTGTTTTGAATAATCAACAGTGGTAGTTCCAGGTAGAGTGGGATTCCCTGGGTACTGAGGCTGGGCAGAGATACAAACATTCAATACTATACACGGTAGTGCTAGTAGCATTGTGTTTTTAGTGCCAAATCACAGCCTGGGTGTGGTGCGTATAAAATCTTTTATAGGAGAGCAGAATCCCAAACATGATATCAAGTAAAAGGCATTAGAATTAAAAATTAAAACGTTCCCAATGATGACTGTAAGACTGTAACTTTGGGAGTTGTCCTTTATAGACAGGTTGTCTGTAGGAATGTGACTGTAGGAGTTGTTCTTTACAGACAGGTTGTCTGTAGGATTGTGACTGAAGAAGTTGTTCTTTATAGACAGGTTGTCTGTAGGGATGTGACTGTAGGAGTTGTTCTTTAAAGACAGGTTGTCTAGGAATGTGACTATAGGAGTTGTTCTTTATAGACAGGTTGTCTGTAGGAAAGTGACTGTAGGAGCTATCTTTTATAGACAGGTTGTCTAGGAATGTGACTGTAGGAGTTGTCTTTTATCGACAGGTTGTGTAGGAATGTAACTATGGGAACTGTCTATAGACAAGTTGTCAGTAGGGGAGTAACTCAGTGTTGAGCATGATGTTGCAATGTACAATTTTTTGGATAATAAATAGACCATAGATGTTACTCATCAAGAAGTGCTTAATTTTCTACACAGTCAGCCAGTAACATCAGCACTGCAAACATTCTGACAACTCACTAATGCCATATTGAGATATAGCAGATTGTCATTAAGATTACACTATATTTTAGACACTACAAAAGGGCATTACAACAGATGGACCCTTATCACTTCATAGTGAAAAGCATGGAATTGTGTCACAAGGACATATCCCAGTATTTCAAGCATATTCTCCTATTTGTATTCCATAAAATCTGTCCTTGCTGGTTTTTCCATGATCACATGTAAGAGTTCCCAGGGAGTGAAACTGTTCTTACATGCAGAAGCTCCCAGGGAGTTAAACTGTCCTTACATGCAGAAATTCCCAGGGAGTGAGACTGTCCTTACATGCAGAAGCTCCCAGGGAGTTAAACTGTCCTTACATGCAGAAATTCCCAGGGAGTGAGACTGTCCTTACATGCAGAAGTTCCCAGGGAGTGAAACTGTCCTTACATGCAGAAGTTCCCAGGGAGTGAGACTGTTCTTACATGCAGAATTTCCCAGGGAGTGAGACTGTTCTTACATGCAGAAGTTCCCAAGGGAGTGAAACTGTTCTTACATGCAGAAGTTCCCAGGGAGTGAGACTGTTCTTACATGCAGACGTTCCCAGGGAGTGAGACTGTTCTTACATGCAGAAGTTCCCAAGGGAGTGAAACTGTTCTTACATGCAGAAGTTCCCAGGGAGTGAAACTGTTCTTACATGCAGAAGTTCCCAGGGAGTGAGACTGTTCTTACATGCAGAAGTTCCCAGGAAGTGAGACTGTCCTTACATGCAGAAGTTCCCAGGGAGTGAGACTGTTCTTACATGCAGAGGTTCCCAGGTAGTGAGACTGTTCTTACATGCTAAAAGTTCCAAGGAAGTGAGACTGTCCTTACATGCAGAAGTTCCCAGGGAGTGAGACTGTTCTTACATGCAGAAGTTCCCAGGGAGTGAGACTGTTCTTACATGCAGAAGTTCCCAGGGAGTGAGACTGTTCTTACATGCAGAAGTTCCCAGGGAGTGAGACTGTTCTTACATGCAGAAGTTCCAAGGGAGTGAGACTGTTCTTACATGCAGAAGTTCCCAGGAAGTGAGACTGTCCTTACATGCAGAAGTTTCCAGGGAGTGA